AAGTTCGGGTGGGCACGCAGCACTCAGGTGACACAGATGTATGACGGAATGCAATGCCGTGCCCGAGTCTAAAGGCAGCAGTCTGTATGGTCCATTTATACGGAATTCTAGAAGAGCTACACTGTCATGATAGAAAGAAGGTGGGGGGTGGCCAGGGGCTTAGGGTCTGGGGGGAGGACTGACTGGGAAGAGACGAGAGGCAGCTTTTTAGGGTCGTGGAATGTTCCAGATCACGATGCTGCCAGTGGTTACGTAACTCTGCACATTCATCAAACTCATTCGCGTGTTCGCTTAAAATCGCTGAATTCTATTGGATGCAATTTATATGTATCTCAATAAAGTGAATTTAAAAGGACATTTAATAACTTGATATAGCATTTCTGTTCTTTTGTATCGGACTCAGACTAGGCAAAATGCGCCCACCCTTGGGTGACAGAATCAGCAGAATTTCCAGCTGAGTTTCCGATCATGGAGGTGGAAGTTGTGAAAGGTCGCCAGCAGCAGGCATCACGGCGCGGCCAAAACATTACCAGGCGGAGGCCGTCCAAGACACAGCTGTTAGCCTCTCTGGGCCTTTGGACACCCCTAAAGTGGGTCATCTTTCACAGTACCTGCGTCACTGTGGAGAACATGCTAGTAAATCAAAGACCAGCTGGATTTGTTCTCGAGTTGGCAACATGCTGACTTGCTTGGAAGTACTATTAATCCTTTCATTCACTGGGAAGGCAGGGCCGGTTTCGCAGTCCTGGCGACCTCCCCTTGTTATCAGCGCTGCGTGTTCCATCGGTGCAGGGTACACTTCCCGCATTCCTCCTGTGCTGCTGCAGGGTGGTGGTCATGTGACAGCTGGATGTACAATCTTCAAAGTTTGAAATTAAGAGTAATACCAAATATTTTTTACTGATGAACTAGAGTGCAGAAGCAATTATTTTATCCAATACAAAATTATTTTGCCTCAAAAATATTGAGTTAGTAAAGAAAAAGCATTGTTCTGGACTGAATTCTCCAGATCATTCTGCATTTGGCAAAAAGTGACAGAACAGCAACTCAATTGGGCCTTGACCATGAGCACATTTCCTGGCTCATGTCTCTGGAATTCTCAAGTTACAGAAGGGCCCCAAGTTAGCCAGAGTCAGGTCTTAACAATCTCCAGCGTGGTTTTCTCCCTCTGGATTCTGCTGACCGGGTGGCTCACCTTCATGCTGCTTCTCTCCCAGGTGTAGGATGGCTGTGGAGGTGGGTTCGAGCCCACCGTTGCCTCATTAATTCCCTGAGCAAAGAGAGAGAAGATTCCTTTGGGAATCTCTGATGTAAGGGCAATGCAAGACCTTCCCGAAAGCTCTTTCCTCATTGGTTCAAATTGGGTCATATATCCACTCCTTGCTGCTCCAGAATGGGTCACATGTCCAGTCACTGCAGAGAGGATGGACTGAGCCTTAGATAATAAGGCTTCCCTACAACTGGAAATAGCTTCCCCGAGAAGATGAACCCATGAATTGTGTGTGTGTGTGCAGTGTGGGTTCTGTTAAGAGAGAAAAAGGGAGAAAGATGATGAGTCAACAGCAAAAAAGATATACTATGGGGTGGGGGGGGCCGGGATAGGAGAAATAGACAAAAAACTGTACTTGAAAAATAACTAAATAAAATTATTTTTAAAATAAAAATAAATAAAAAAGATATACTAGTGTCTAATTTAGAATTTATTAACTTTTTTCCTTGTTATAAAAGTTATATAGGTTAAATTTTAATTTCAAAAGAATATTTGTAGCCAAAAGGAAAAAAGTAAAATCCACCATTATTCCACTGCCCTATGAGAACCACTGATGACATAATACAAACACACTTTTAAACAATAAAATGAATAGTAAACTCTGCATACTTTTAAGCCAGTGTAGCATGACGGTTAGCAACACAGACTTGGGTATCAACCTCTGGGTTCATCTTACTGTGTGCAGGTCCTCGTTGGGCAAACGACTTTGTTTTTTCATTGGCCCTTGAACAGTGCATGTGTGAACTGTTTGGGTCCCCTACACACGGATAAGTGGGCCCAAGCTGTTCATAAACCAACTGTGTTTTCCATCCAAGTGTGGGAATCCACGTATGCCCGGGGTGGATGTAAGCGGTACACCGATTTTTGACTGCGTGAGTTGTGGGCAGCCCTAACTCCCACATTTTTCAAGGGTCAACTGTAGTTTGAATGGAGGCCTTAGAGCCTGCAAAACCAAGAGTGCTCACTACCTGGCTCTTTACAGAAAAGGTTTGCTGACCTCTGGGCTTGACCATCAGACCTCTGCTGGGTTGTCAAGATCTCCCATGTTGTCATTCTGTGGTCACAAAGTGACTCCACCAGTCTAGAGACCTGATCAGGAAAAAAGTGACACCAGAAGAGCTGACAGGAAGGCAAGATACTGCATTAGTTGATCACTTAGAAACAGCTAAGAACAGTGACTGGCTGTGCTTGGGGGCCATTACTAAGCAACGTAAAGGCAACTTGAACACATGTACCGTGACACCACAACACTGCATGAGGACTCTGGACAAAGTGGTGATTCGTGCCCAAGGTGGGACAGTGGGTCGGTGCGAGATGTCATCATACTACTCAGAACAGCACCAATTTAAAAGTTAGGAATTGTTTATTTCTAGAATTTTCTTTTTAATATTTTTGGACTGTGGTTAACCACAGGCAACTGAAACTGCAGGAAATGAAACCACCTAGAAGAGGGGACTGTGATGCTAATGTCACAGAGTTTTGATGAAAATTAAATGAAATCCCAGAATCTAACAGATATTATATACTGCACAGAAGTTAGCCATTTTTATATAATGTATAGAAACCATTTGTGAAAAGCATTCTGATAACCAACAATATAATAATGTGTTATTATAATAGACTTAATTCTTATCCTTCACTTTAGGTATTTGTGCCTCCTTTTTGGAGCAGTGAAGGTAAAGGCAGGTTTAAAAATTCTTTCTTGGGAGGTCTTAACGTTTAGAAGATTAGCTCAGGGAGAGGCTCGGCAGGTACTGTTCAGCAAGGCACAGGTCGGCCTGCAATGGAAACAGAGACACAAAATAATTCATAACAACCGAGAGAGACGTGTCTCTCCAACACGCGCGCCCAGAGGTGAGGAGCCCAGCTCTGGAGGGCGGCTGCTCTGTGAGACCTTGCAGGACCCGGTTCCATTTGTCTTGTTTCTGCACTGTCACCTGTGATAAGTTGCATGCATGAAGCCGGCTCACCTGCACCTTCTTGTCCCATCCTTCAGGAAGGGGAAGCAGTGAATGAAGAGCAAGCCATTTCCCTTTTAAAGGATGAGACCCAGAACTATACATGTGGTTGCCACCTCAGTGGCGAGACCTTAGTCACAGGGCCACCCAAAGTTGAAAGAGAGGCTAGAAGATGTGACTTTAGTGGGGCAACCATATGCCCAACTAAGTTTTAGGGAATCCTGGTTTTAAAAGGGAGAGGAAAAGAATGGATGGTAGAATTGGTTAGCAGTCTTGCAGGAGCACCATCATGGAAGCTGTTGTTGTTCCATTGCCTCTAAGACTATCGGTTTTGAGACACATCCTCATTTTATTTATCACTAAGGAAGAAAAACTATGTTATTTAAACTATGGCTCATTGCTTTTTTACCAGCTCAGTTGTAGGACATATCCCAATTTAAGAGATGTTAAAATGTGAAAAATACATGTCTTGCGATAGGGGAAATAAAACATTGAAAAGACTTAGGAAAGAACGTGAGCTAAAGACGCTCATTTTGCAATCTTCTGTGTTCTTTGTGTGTTCGAGTTTCCCTGGGGCAGGCATAGGCTGGAGATATCGAGTGTTGGTTGACCATTGCATATGACGTTTAAAATAGCTGCTTGACCACTCTCAGTGTGAATTTACTCAAAGTCAAATTCCTGTCCCTGCTGGTAGAGGGACTTTTGGTTCGAAGGCTTGGGGAAAACTTGCCCAGATTTCTACCCAGTCTGGGCCAGAGCTAGAGTCAAGTTCAACAGACAGTCAGGGCCAGGCATGGCCAGGGCATCCGTCTTCTTGTTTCAAGATTCAGTCATCAACCAAACATTGGGTGAATCCAAGGCACTTTGCTGGGTGCACCCCACAGTCCTGAGCCCATGAAGGGAGAGAGAGAAGCAGTATATACAAGGTAGTAGGTTCAAGGTCAGAGGTCTGGCCAACAGAGGCCCAGATTGGAGTCATCAGCTCTACCTGAGGTTAGCGAGGACCTCCCTCTGGAGGTGAATCAGGACCAGGTGGGTTGAAGGGCCCTCTGAGCAGAGGTCACAGAGTGTGCAAGTCCATAGAAATGTGAAGCCACCATCACTCAGGGAATGGCGGCGTTAGGGTTCCTTTGGTTATGGAGGGTTTGCTGTTCAGCGTTGTCTCATTGCGCCTTACACATAGATGGCCAACAGCAACCTTGGTTTCACTGTTAAAGAGAAGACCCACTGGGGATGGCCAAAAAGGAATGAGCTGAATTTTTCTGGATCAGAAAGATGCTAGATCATGGATCATGAACAGATGCAAAATGATACTTTTGGTGCCACACTTGCTCTTGAACTTAACATTACTCTCTCTTACTTGTCAACATAAGGTTCAAGGGTTGAATAGATTAAGAAACACTCATTTGGATCCCACTAGCTTTGGCTACTTTTATGCTTATTTTCTCCCATGTAATAAACACACAAGTGTATTTGACTTTGAACACCCCCGTTTTTCCTTGTTTACCCAAAGCAGTTTAACCTGCAGTACGGCTAATATTAGCTTAAGAGGAGATTCTTGGTGCAGCAACCACATCTCTGTGAACTTGACCTGTTAAAAAAGCTAGAGAACCAAATGCTTCATCCTCGGTTTTAAGACGCCAGTCACAGTGAAAGTCCCGGGTCCAGTAAGGTCATCGATTAGGTAGCTTTGAACCTGGTCAATGACAGTTCTGTGATATGCAGGTGTTTCTTGCCGTATATTGCTTCTGAAATCTGCTTCTCTTGTGTAGATCACTGTTACAGATGAGGAAGTTAGTAATCCATCCTTTTTAGATCTGGTGAGAACTCCCCAAATGAGGAAGTGCACACTTATTCTTATGTTTGCTTGGTAAGTTTGCCTTGTAATGGATTCAAAAGCTTGTGTCAAATTTATGCTGCGCCCCTTCCTTCCAGTTGAGGTGACGTCGTCTCTTACTTGCTCTCCACCGTCTCCCGATGTCGCTGCAGGTTCACCAGTGCATTGGTATACCAAGGACTGGTCATGCGCCTGGGCATCGTAGGAGGCAACCTCTATGTCGACTTCTTTATCTCCGGGGTCGTGGAGCTGCCGGGAGCCCTTCTGATCCTCCTGACCATCGAGCGCATTGGACGACGCCTTCCCTTTGCAGCCGGCAACCTTGTGGCAGGAGTGGCGTGCCTGGTCACGGCCTTCCTACCTGAGGGTCAGTGTCTTCCAACTCGGCGTGGCAGCTGAGAACTTGAAAAGAAATCTTACATTGAAAACAACGTAAACAGCACGTGGGGAAACGCTCATCCTTAGGAAATACGCCACTGCATCACAGTCCCAGTGGGGGACACTTCAGTGGTGTGTCAGCTCATTTTCCGCTTAGTCCCGGGAAAGACTCGTGAGTGTAAGAGGCAGTTCTGCAGACTCCTCTGGTCTCCCCCTTTCTAGGTCCACGTGGGGGCGTGATCGAGTGACATCTAGCTCGGGGTGATGTCATTTACTTTTGACCACCTTTATCGATCTGACTTGTGATGGCATGACCGGGCTCAAGGCACTTCCTGAGCATTGGCTACGTCACCGGCCCCAGGAGGACACAGTTCTTGACTTCCACAGGTTCCCAGCCTAGTAAGGGATCAAGATACTTCAATACTCTCCCAACTCACAGTGATAAAGGAAATAGCAGTAGTTACAAGGTTGAGAAATAGCAGAAGAATCCTAGCAAAGAGGCGTGAGGAGTGATTCATCTGGGGGGAGTCGGGAAAGCTTCCCGGAGGGGTGGGTAGCTAGGGGTGTGGAAGAAAGGACGGGGAGGCGCCGGGCAGAGGGGGGTCTGGCAATGACTTCTCCAAAGTGGAGTGTGGTTCCTGGGAGCAGGGGTCACCTCCGAGGGGTCAGAGATAGGCGTTCTTGGTTGTCACTCTTATCCAGATGAGGAACAGAGGGGTCATCCGTCACTAGTGGTGAGCTTGCTTACAGTCTTGTGAGCTTCGTGAGGAGATGGGGGAGGGGTGGCCGTCTGTAGCCACAGCAGTCTGGACAATGACCATGAGGGAGAGATGCTGAGAGCACAGTCTAAGGGAGTGGCAGTTGGGCTGGGATGGGACAGGGTGGTTTCAGAGACATTTCTGAGATAGACTTTTTGGGAACTGATGGCTGGTACGGAGGTGGAACGTGTCTCCAAACACACAGCGAGCACACCCCAGATGGCATCTGCCACTGTGTACACCAGTGTGGGACTTGGGGAGCCTTCAAACTCCCCGGGAATGTGCGAATCACAGCATACTAATTGTTTCTGGGTGTGGGGTGGGGGGGCAGCAACAGGAGAGCTGGGTTCTCTGGGAGCATCAGCACGACAGGCTATTTGCTTGCTTGTTTGTTTCATTTTGTTGAGAATCCTCTGAGGACCAGGAAAGATTTGATAATATGTGGAAGTCAAAACAGGCAGGTATTTATAGATGAGTTTGTGAAGTCCTCAAACATTGGGTAGAACCTATTTAAATACAATTACAGAACTGCCTATCTTTAGGACAGAAGGGGAAAAGGATGTAGAATCCTGTGTGTTACTGGAATGGCTGGTGATCAGCGGCACCGACCAGCCGCATTCCTCTCGGCTTCCCGGACTGTGTTAGTTCTCTGGATTTGCAGTAACGAACTTCCACGATCTGGGCGGCTTGAAACTGCAGAAGTCTATTCTCTCGCAGTTCGGGAGTCTGGCCCCCAAGGTGTTGCAGAGCCACGCACTCGCTCCAGGATCCAGGGGAGGACCCTTCCTGGCCACTCCCCAGCTCCTGGAGGTCACCAGCATTGCTGGCCTCCAACCAGTCTCTGCTTCCATCTACATGTGACTTTTCTGCATCTCTGTCTTAACCGTCACATCTGCAGAGACCCTACTTCCAAATAAGGTCACCTTCTGAGGGGGACAGTATTCAGCCCACTACACTGTGGTATTAACATGTTCTAAGCGTGGGGGAATCTGTGTAAGAGCTATTGGCCAAAGCATGTCTATTTGTACCTATTCATCATAGCTGCTAAACCAGGATTGGGGGTAGAACGTGAACAAGATATTCATAATTTCTGTCCTCAGGGGTTAAGTGCAGGGTGAGTGGAAGGGGGACATATCAGGAATGTAGGAGACCCCTCTTTTTATTCCATATTATTTTCGTAGCACGTGCTTTGGGGTTTAATTTAAAAAGGGGGTTTCCTAAGACACGGTCCTCTGTTCCCATTGCCTGTGCAATAAGAACTGAGCATTCACTGCATGTGAAGTGAGGGAAGTGGGGAGAAAGGCTACCGATGCAGTGCAGCCTGTCAGCTCAGGACGGCTTCAGTGGGCGCTGCCTTCAGTGTGACCCCAGAAAGCAGGCAAGGCCACAGGGACGTCCAAGCCAGTGTGGGCGTAACTGGGTGGGCGGGGCTCAAGCCCTTGTGTAGAGAACACCTTCATGTGTGCAAAAATAGGAGGTATTTGCTTAATCAGATCAGTTTTATTTTGTGGATGTAATTTCTCATTTTAAGCTTTAGAGCTATTCTTAGCAATGTCAAAAATTACCGTCATTTGCTGTGTATAATGTGCACTTTTTAATCTGAATTTTTGAGGGAAAAATCAGGATGCACATTATACATGGGCAGTGCTATTCCATGTCTGTGTAAATGTTCTCATTTCTTTTATTTACGAGTATGCATTCAAAGTGCAACTCTAGGAAGCAGTAGCAATACCCATGTGCAAAATCTTACCCTGGAGTACAATAACAAGTTTTGTTTCTAAATATAAATAAATAACTGAATTTAAAAAATCAGGTCTTTTTCCTGAAAGTTTGGGCCAAAATCATAGGAGCACATCATGCATGGCAATGTACAGTAATGACTCCTATTTTGGACACATTTTACATACGTGGTCTGTGGATTCAGCTGTTTCTGTAGCCACGTGTTGGCCATGACTGACCAGAGCGAGTTTCACATCCCAAATGCGCCATGTGAGCACCAGATCCTGGCAGGCTCCTCTCAGGAGCTGGCGGCCCTTAGATCTGCTCAGAGAGTGAGTGGACTCACTGCGGGGGCTTTTCAGTTAAGGCCCGTGAGACTTTCCCGCAGTAACTCCTGGTGTCACCAACTAGAGACGCTGGTTGGTCTTTTAGAGGAATCAACTCTAAAATGATCTCCAGAAAGCAGTTTAGCTGGCTTTCCCTCCACTACTCACAGCTTCTCAGGGTCTGAAGAATGAAACTATGGGAAAAGAAAGAGAGCTCTGGCTGTGTGTGTCCTCACCCAAGACTCACTGCTGTAGTTTTGAGCTGTACAGTCTGAAACACACAGAGCTTTCTTTTGCCCCCCATCCGCCATCTTTAATTTGGGTTTCTGTAGGATTGCTCCAAACCTGCCAGTGTGGGTAAGTCTGTCTTGTACTTTTATTTTCTTTAAGTGAAAAGTACGTTTATGTATCTTATTTTACATATCTCTGTTAGGGATTTTCACCAAATTTTATTTCAGAACTCAGAACAGATGCTATGTTCAGAGGAGATGCAAAATTGTGTTTATTTAAGATCTTGCATTTCCTTTTCAGAAATTGAGCTATTATTCCCAGTAATCCCCAGAAGCTTGACCGCATGACCCTGGAAGGCAGTTCCAGCTCCAGTCCTTGTTTTTAAATTGCCTCGTGGTTTTGTGGGGTTTTTTTTCTTTTTGGTCATTACCATCACAAGATGTCTGTTGTCCCTCCACCATAAACTCAGCACATTACTGGGATGATTGAGAGAGTTTGTATAACACTCACACATCAGTTACACTTTCTAATAAATTATTTTTGCTTCGTTCTTCTGATAGAGAGTGTGGTGCCCTCGGGCCATCTGTCACACATTTCCACACAACCCCTGTCACTGTGTAAGGGCAGTTCAGTCCTGGCCTCTGCAGCTTGGCATGAGCTGAGGGTCTTTCATTTGCAGGTTGCCACGTAGGACCAACCCCACCTCTGCAAGGGCGTCAACAGGACAGCATTTTCTGAATGGTTTTCTGAATTCACTGGATGTTTTTCATGGTGTGCATGTGGCACTTAAATTTGATTTTTGTCTGGTTCTTCCCAGCAAACTGTCCTGGCCTCAGCTGTAAACTTAGTTTGTTGCCACAGCTGTCACCAGAACCGCAGAGTGACCGTGATTCAGTAGAGAAGCCTGTAGTGTAAGGACCTGCCCAGGTGAGGACGTCATCCCCACGTTGGCAGGCAGCCTCCTCCTCACAGCCCGGGGGCCGAGGGGGCACCTGGCCAGGTGGGCCTCCCCGCCACGGCCTGCGCCCCTGCGCCGTGTTTGTCTCTGCGTGTCCTCCGAGACAACTGTTTTCGTAGCGGGCTTTAGCTTTTTTTATTGGCCGATTCTTCTTTAGAGAGAACAGGCGTCAATCTACTGAACTCAATCCTCCTCTCTATCCTCCTCATCCGCTCCTACTTTTCTACTAAAAAGGTGTATGTGTTCAGGAAAGTGCAGTCGCTCCAGAAGACAGAAGGATCGTTAGGTGCGGAGCGAGCCCGGATCAGCGTTGACTGTACAAGGGAAAGGTTTCTCGTTCGAAGCTGGGAGTCAGGCCTGCTGAGCCCAAGCTGCCCCTGCACACACCGACCGAGGTCACGGGAGGGGGGGCCAGACACTGCTGGTCTCAAGGACCCTGGGGCTCTAACCTCTTAGGACAAGAACAGTCCCTCCTCCCCTTAAACATGAAACCAGAAAGGTGTTTAATAAAGAATGTGGGGCGCCTCCCCCCGGAGAGGTTCTCCAGATAACCGGAGGGGCCCTAAATCAGTTTATCAGTAAAGGAAGAGTTGACTGGTACTTAAGAATCTGGCTCTTCTGGATTATTCCTTGGGGAAAGTAGCAAGACTGGGGATGAAGGAAGGAAGACAATGGGGGACCAACGTAGTGATGAGGTGCAGCAGAGGTGCCACCTTCCAAAGACCCCAGTCCTCCAAACCTTGCCGCTCTCTAGAAACCAAAGGCAGCTTGGTGTCGCATCTTACCCGGTCTGTTGGTGATGGCTCTTTGGGTGTCATCAGAAAGACCAAATGGGCACCAATTGGTGCCGACACTTTTCAAGGGCACAGTGAAGGCTATCCTCTAGACCAGAGGCTGGCGTGGCCAGGCCCTCCTGGGAAGGCCCTGCTCCGAACGTTGTTTCGGTTTGGTGGCCACCCAACAAATGGGTCTGGAATCGAACTGCTGAAATCTGACCCTGCGCAGAAATGCAGTCAGCACTGGAAACATGAGCCGTTGCTCTGGTAGTGGTTATTGCTGTTGAAATTTGGTTCCGATGGTAGAAGGTTTCAATCATTTGTGCTTAAAATTAGCGAAGACTAAGGGTTTCGAGAACATCAAGCACATGCCTCGCATTGTTCTATGAAACCGTAGCAAAAGCACACTCCTAACTTCCGCCTCCCAAACCTCTGTGTTTCAGGAAGCGCATGGCTGAGGACCACGGTGGCCACCTTGGGGAGGCTGGGGATAACCATAGCCTTCGAAATCGTTTATTTGGTGAATTCAGAGTTGTACCCAACGACATTACGGTAATTCCAACATATGTGTTGTGGTTTCTCCTGAGTGTTTGGAATTGACTTAAAAACTGTGAGATTGTTTCCTTAGCTTGATGACCCATTTGTGTGGGCCAAACCCAGCCTTAAAGACAACGTGCTTTGAGTCGCGGCCTCTCTCCGCCTCGCGGTCATCCACATTTTGTGATGGAGAATTTCTCCTGCCTGTCTCGTCATACGCAGCCATGGTTTTGAGAAAAGCTGCTAGACTTGGAGTCAGAAAACCTGGCTGGTGTGCACATGCTTAAATGTGGTTAAATCTCTCTTTACGGGCATCACCTGTCTGAGGGTGACCCCTCTGCCTGCACCCCATTCCACATCTCATCGAGGTGAACAGCCGATTACTGCAGGACAGAGAGCAGCCGTGTGCCGGAGCACATTAGCCAGCTTTCCCCAAGGAGCGTTCACGGCCCAGTCCAGCCGGAGCCGAGACAGCACGTGAATGTCACCAAGGCGGCTGGGTGGCAAGAATGCGTCCCCCGGCAGCACTGCACCGCTCCTCGGCAACCTCAAGGGACAGGGGACATGACACTTACCCGCATGTGGAACGGCAGTGCCAAATGCACACGGTCTGCTTATGGCAGTGACAGAGTGGTCATTTTCTAAGTTCAAAACTGCAGGAATGGGAAACACTGTGACAGTTTCTTTATTGCTTTTATGTCTGAATATTTTGCATGTCTCAAAGTCATTTAAATATTTTTTCATTTAAAACCATTGTTTTCTCTACAGAAACTTTGGACTTTCACTCTGCTCGGGTTTATGTGACTTTGGGGGGATCATAGCCCCGTTTCTGCTCTTCCGACTGGCCACCATCTGGCTGGAACTGCCTCTGATCATCTTCGGTGAGCACGCACTGGGCTCGCTGCCCTCGCACGCATGCATCACGTTCTCTGCATCGTTAGGCTCCGTATTAATGACAGATGCTTAGTGGTTTTACGGCAGCCCTTTCAGTTTTGAGGAGCCAGTCTGACCACGATGAAATGTGACGCCCTAAATGCTTTAAATCGACTAGACGTGAAAGGGCCGTGATGAGCAGTATTCCACTTAGCTTTCTTTGTGTAGGTTCTCAGTTCAATGCTTCAGAACTCTTTTATGATATTGGGAATAATTGAATGCCAAGGGTGTTCATGAGACCAAAGTAGACCTTCCGTGTGTTGAAAAGAAGCCTAAGATCGAATCATGTTATTAAATGTTCCATATCCATCAGCCTCATATCTTCATTTGCTCTGATGCTTAACATGCTGTAGGTGCAGAGGACACAGACCCCTTGCACGTCTAACCTAGCCTCTTCGATGCCCCCCTTCACCCCTCCTTCCTCCCTCTGATCTTCCTAGAACCCATGAAGGGGTAGGATCGTAGTGTTAGGAGAGACCTTAAGGTAAATGGGTCCCATGCTTCTCACGTGCTGCTCCACCTTTCTGCCTGGCCCCGCCCCTCATCCCTCCTCAGCAGGAAAGGATACGGGTTGGCCCTACCGCAGTGAACTTGCCTCCGCCTCTGCTTCCTTTTTCACCCACTGCTCACTATTCAAATGACAAGGGAGACACTAAGTCCACGAGAACGCATATGTGCGTAATGCAAAAGCCCTGATGGTGCTAGGGACAGGAAAGCCAGCCTCTGACCAGTCCACACCAGTGCAATTGGTAAAAGAACATTTCAAATAATGTCCTGGGGTCTGATCACTGAGCCCGGCGTCGATTCTGTAGCCAGCACGAACAGGCAGAGTTCAGCCAAGATGGAGCGGTCTCAGAACCCAGCCCTTGGAGGCGGTGGGTGGCCTGGCCTGCCTCGAGGGCCACTGAGCGGTGCTGGAATGTGGGCCCTGCCCTCGCAGAGAGAGCCGGGTGTCAAACACAGCCGTGATTAAGAATGGAAGCAGATAAAAATACTGGAAGGAGATAACACAGACTCAAACCTCATCAATCCCTGATTCATTTACACGTGCTGGTGTCTGTGTTCCTGAGGTTATTTCCGTTTTTGCATCTTTATGGTGGGAATTCTATAAAATGGTGCTCTACTGCCCCTCTCTTCCCAGCACCTTATTCAGCAATGTCACAGTGGCAATGGGAATTGTTGGTTGAGGGGAGATATTTACACCATGGCAATGGGCAGACGCTACAAATCAGGCCTTTCCTTTCTGGAGAGCTGGTTGGCAAATATTCACAAGCACGCCGCGAAGATCAGATGTGGAGAAAATAGTAAAGGACAGGGTTTCAGGAACCGTGACTTGGAAGAACAGAAAAAGGGAGGATGGTAAACAGGGACGTGGGGTCGATAGGAGGGTCCTGAAGGGTGAAAGGTTGGAGTGTGTTTCAGGCTAAGGTACTGGAGAGGGGGTTAATCACTTCAGTGAGGGGCCTAAAAAAGCCTCCAAGAGGCCAGCCTTGGCCAAAGGGACATCCTATGGTGGCCATGGCAGAGGGGTGAGGGGATTGAGAGGAAGCCATGATGTTCTAGTGCCAGTGAAAGGACGCAGAGGGGACGCCTCTCTGGTGGCTTCGGTATTCCCAGGAGGTAGGAGATGAGGACATCTCTGAGCGCTAGGCACTGAGTAGGCGCTCAATAAATAATTGTCCAGTGGGTGCGTGGGTGGATGTCTGCCGAGAGCCCAGGGGCGCTGGGACTGCCCAGGGTTTGAGGAAGGGGAGGAAACGGTGGCAGAGGAAAGCTGCAGAGCCTGCCAGGGTCACCCGGGGGCTGCTGCCAGGGTCACCCGGGGGCTGCTGTGTTTGAGGGTGAGCACCAGCTGAGGCTGGTGAGCCGCTGCTTCCAGAGCGAGCGGAGGGATGAGGGCTGGCCGTGTGTTCCTAGTGGTGATGCCGTCCCTGTTCTGTAGGTGTCCTGGCGTCGGTCTGCGGTGGCCTCGTGATGCTGTTGCCTGAAACCAAGGGCATCGCCTTGCCAGAGACAGTGGATGATGTAGAAAAACTTGGCAGGTACCGTATGAAATGTAGCACCTTCTAAATAAAAGCAGCATCTCAAACCACTGGGGAAGGGATGGTATAGAGACAGTTAGATACCCATGGGGAGAAAAAGAATATTAAATTCCTGGCTCACATCCTAAGCAAAAATTCAAAGTAGCTGTAAGACATTAATGTAAAAGAAAAAAGCTATAAGTGAGTGTGTATTATTTTTTAAAGGTGGTTATAAAGAGGGAAACACTTTCAAATAAGGTCTTAAAACTCAGAAGCAACCTAAAGAAAAGGGATGAATGACTGGACAAAGTAGAAATCAGTTAAATGTGCATCAGTGAGCAAATAATTGTAAGAAATAATACATTTATAACATGAATTACTGTACAGAGAGTAAAAGAGTTAAGATGTGTCTGTCTGGAATGAAATGGGAAGATTTTCAAGATTAGATTACAAAGCTAAAAGACACTGAAAAATGTGTTATGGTATTTGTTAAAAAATAAAACCAACAGAAATTTCTCTCTGGAGCTAGATGGGGAGATAGTTGATAGAGGTAGATAGATAGATAGACAGACAGACAGATGGATAGATGATTATGATAGAGACAGACAGACTAATAAAAAGAAATGAGGGCACTGGAAATATTGGGGGGGACACTCTGTAAAGTACACAATTGTCTGAACACTATGCTATACACTTAAAATGAATACAAAATAATGTTGACTATAAAACTGTAATTGAAAAATAAAAAATAAAAATAAGTCAGTATTTTTAAAAAGCAGCTGAGAGAATGAGAGAGGAGGAGATGAAGTTTTGGAGAAGTGTGTCTCAATGGTGTGCAGGGAAAGCTAGTATCTAACCAATATATGAAGGTGAAATGTATTTCTGTCATACTAACACAAATGTACATTACATCAGTTCTAGTTTTCTAGGTTTGAAATCTTTCATAATAAAAAGTCAGGAAGAGAGGTTATGAATATGACAATGTAGAGGAAAACATCTAAAATAATACTATATACTCTGTGGGGATAGAAACAAGTGGGGAAAGGGGGCAGAAGACAAGGCATCCTTGTTAGACTCTATACATTTCCGTATTGATTTCTTAAAAAAATTACAACACGTTGTCTTGTATTATCTGTGTAATTTTTTTTTAAGTAACTGAACAGTTAATTTCAAAAATAAAAATGACTCTTTTTCTAAATGATGACCTAGACATTAAGGGTATGGCTCTCTAAATTTTAAACTAATGTATCAAAATATTTACAAAAGACTGAAATGTTAGTAACGTCACTCAGTTTTTCTTCACTTGTGTCCTGGGAAGAGAGTAGGCACTTCCGTAGGTACCTGTGTGATCGATGGTTCCACCCGTGTCGTTTTATCTAAAGCACAGTGATTCGGGGAAGAGGAGTTCTCATCCTCACTATTTGATGCACTAGGGTAACTATGCTCAGATTTCACAACTGGACCTGCTAGGCCTGGGGTGGATGCTCTCTGGTGCTCAGGTGCGACTCTGTGGTTTTGTGTGGTTTTATTATTTCACGCTGTATTCTGCTTGATTATGACTTTCTTCAGGAGTGAGTACCCCTGGAGGACTGGAAATTTCACTCTTCCTACCCTCTCTTAATGCGGTACCCTCCTCCTCCCCAGAGGTAGACCACCCTTGCTAAGGGTCTTACTGGTGCTTTACCAGACCTTTAAAATGTATGCAATGATTTCACTGTCCTGTTTCATGATGCAATTTGGAAGTATGAGATTCATTAATCATCCCAGAACGCTCCTGAGAAAGGCTCCCTCAAAACCGAACCGCGAGCCCCTATCCCAGCAGCTGACTCCTACCTAGAAGGACTGGCCAATCGGGGAACGGGTGGTCTTTTGTCCCGTGAAGTCACTCAAAAAAATTCCTATGCTTCTTTGGAATTGCTTGGGACCAGTTCATCCCTCACCCAAAGCTCTGCTTTCATTTCACCCTCAAATGATGCTACCAGAAGTTTGGGATGAGGTGGGAGAGTGTCCTTAAGCCCTGGCATTTTGTAAACTAAAATTAGGAAAAAAATTTAAAAGGTGTTAAAACACTGTGAAGGCCCCCTGAGTGTTAGGCCATGGGCAGGTCTTGCTTCATCCAGAAAGCAGAAACCCAGCAGGGCTGATTCTATCATCACAGACAGTTTCTTGGTTGGAATCAGGGTCTGGGGCCAGGTCAGGATGGTGGGTGTCCAGTCCTACCACCCCAATCCCAGCAGTGCTACTAGAGGATCAAGAGGAAGGAGAACATTCAAGAAGCTTAAATGAAGCCATGGGGAATGGTGAGAATGGAAATAAGGTCATCATACAATGAGAAGTTCAGACAGTCAGGCTAACTTCTCATGGCCTGATGTGTTTCGGGACTGTTACCAGGGAGAGCATCCCAGCCAGGATTGCAGGGTCAGAGGTCAGGAGTTCAAGGTTGCATGTCTTCATGTTGTTAGGGCTTCCGGACTCCTCCCCTGTCTGGGTGCAGATCCCTCCCCACCCATCTCGGGGCCAGGGCTGCAGTGTGGCTCTGCCGTTTCGCCCCCTGTGCTGCTGCTTGTTTGAACAGTGGGAGTGGTGCATCCCCAAACCAGTTGGGGGTCAGCTTCTCCAACTCCTTAGGGAGAAGTGGAGGACACCAGGTGATGTGGGTCAGGACTCTCCTACTGAGGTAGCCATTGAAATCAGAGTGAAACGTCGAGAGGGGTGGGGCTTTGGAGAGGAGGGGGGCTCCACACTGTGCAGAGAAAACCAGCCTCAAACGACGGGAACAGGAAGACTTATCCCAGCCAAAGTTCAAGTCACACAAACTGTTCCTAATTTTTCCTACATTTGTAACTTTTTGTAATTAAAAAAAATCTGATAAATTGTTAATTATGCCTAGTCCCTACCCCTTGGGGAAAAAATCTGGTAAAAGCATGATTTACAGTTTTATAAGTTAAGCACTTTAATCGTATTCCATAGATGTTGACTCTGGAAAGAAAAACTATTTTGCACCAAATCTGGAAGCATTTTCCTTCTAAAAGTGCACTTGATCATTGTATCATTGGTACTGTTTTGTGTCATCATTGTTGACATCAGTTCATTTCCGAAGCCTCTGCTACCCAGCAGAACTTCCCGAGGCACGTCCTAGGCGGGGTCCGAAAGCCCGTGAGCGCAGGGCTGGGCCCAGGGGCTAGGTTGCTTCTGGACCAGGTTTTCTGTCCCTCATGGGAGTCGGTCAAAACCAGATACACTAGTAAGTAACGAGAAGACTTTCTCTCAGCCTGTGGTTTAATCTTTAACAAGGGCTTTCTCTTTTCTCCTTCGTTTTGTTAGCCCACATTCCTATAAATGTGGCAGGAGAAAGAAAACCCCAGTTTCCAGCTCTCACCTTTGAGGCCTCCGCCAAAGACAAAAGGGAGGCGCCCCTTGGGCGAACCCCAAGGACCCGGAGTGCCCTGCAGAGACGCGTGTGTCCACTACTCCAGCTGTTTTCAATACTCCACAAAGACATGCACACCATCCACGGTAGTTTTCGTATGATGTTGGAGAAGAGGGATCTTTCTGACCTTGGAACAGTGCCTCTGACCCACCAGTTACAGAGAGACAAGAGAAACCCCCTTCCAATCCCCCTGACAGCTCCATCGGGAGCGCGGGAAAGTGCGCAGAACCGGAATCCCCGAAGCTGACCGAGGAACCGAGGCTCTGGCCTGGGCATTCAGAAGGCTCCTGGGATGATGAAAATGAGGTAGTTCCTCAGGGAAGACCCGGGACAGGCAGGGCTGAGCCTTCGCGGAACCTTCTCACCTCGAGCTCCGGGAGCCCCGGCAGCATTGGGGGTGCAGGCACGTTCAGGCCTCATTCCACAGATAAGCACAAATCAGCTGAGGAATTGATTATTACAAAGCTAGGTTGGGTCCCAAGATGCCGGGGTGGGGGGTGGTTTTGGTCCTCACTGGGGGGACACTGGGAGCCACATGTTCTTTATTGAACAAAACCCATGGGTTGTGAATGATTTCATGAGCTGTAGGACTTTAACCATAAAGGGATATTTATCTTATATGTGTGAGTTCAGTTCTCTGACGGTGCCTGTGGTCAAGGGTGAAAAACATGGACAGTTCTTCTTCCACCTGGACACTTGTTACTTGTTTCAGCAAGTAGCTTATATTTTAATGTAAAAGAAAGGTCCCTTCTATCCATGCTTAGAAGAATTAGCAGAGGCTTCATAAGTGATTAATATAAGAGACTTGATCTTCCTTTTTTTGTTACTGAGACTTTGAAATGTGGAGCTTAAATACACACATGCTATCTTTTTCCGAGGTTCTGCCTCAGATGTCTGCCTTCTTGCTTGGTATACTTTCAGATTCAGTATCTACCTTATGTAGAATTTTTTAAGTGACATCCTGCGTAGACAGGCCAAATGGGCACCAAAGGGAAGTCTTGCCAACGGGGGAACTCTCTCTGTGAACACGTGATGGGGTGTACAAGATGTGTGCTGACTGCAAACTAAGCCCTTTCCTGCCCGAGGCACGTCGCAAGCGAACACAAGAGCCCTGCCTCCCAATGGAGCAGACATGGTGCTGCCCTCACTGTCCCCTCCTCCACTTGCTTTGCGTCTCTCTGTGCTGCAGGGGGACTGCCACCTTTCAATTGTATTTTGAGTTGAGACTTCGGTTTTGAGAACAATAAAAACTTTAAGTTGTAAAGAACAGTCAGCGTTTGCCCCGTCTCTTCCTTTTGACCACGTGGCACTGTAAGACGCCATTCCTGCGTGAGTGTGCGCCGCACACCGGGGCAGCTAGTTGCTGGTGGAAACTGTGGGGCCTGCCCTCCGCATACGTCTGTCCCTCCTCTGCAGGCCCTCCGCAGCTTTCCTAGACTCTGCGTGATCCAGATGACCTTCAGCAGGTCTTGTGTTTGCACTTCCACCACCCGGCTTGCTTCACGATACACAACTCCCTGTCCACGGTCCCCGGGGCTGGGCTCAAGTCAGACCGTCAGTGACAGTTTCACTCGCAAGAACAGAATTTGTTCTAGTGACTCCCTGTATGTGTTGCAGCTTTGAAAACATTCTTCTTGATGCCAGAAATAAAGACCTAAAGACACACATCAAGCCTCCTTTCACTGATGAGGTAAACGCGTGGGTGACCTACGGGGATTTCTCTGTGGCCTCGCAAGCTTCTCGCTCTACGTGCTGCTGCTTGTTACAAGAAGGAGCGAGATCCCGTGTCTGTTAGTCCTACACTAGTTAAAACCGGTCGGACGAACCGAGAACATGAAAACAGTGAAAAGCACAAAATCGAAGTAAAGACAGAGTTTATTTTCAATGTATGTCATCTCTGTGTTTGTGGCCTGACCACCATGGAGCCCCCGTGCACGGGAGACATTTACCCACAATCCTACAGGAGTTGAGGTCTGGCAGCCCATGGCAGCTGAGTGCAGGCCTCAGGTCAGTATCTGTCATTTTTCTGAGCGCGCTAAATTCCCCACCCGCGTTCCAGCCTCGGACACGTGGATGCCTCCCTCGGTCTCCCATGCAGTTAATTGCTTCTCATTACTCCTTCGATCCAGCTGACAAACCTGGAGACACGAACGTAGACGCCAGGCTTATTGGGGCGTGCGCAGCCAAGGCCCCAAGAAGTGACTCCTTGTAAAATGTACTTGTCCTTCTCGAAGCAGACCAGGGGCCCTCCGCTGTCACCCTATAGGGAGGGAAAGGCCGTGTGAGGACTAAACCACCAACTTTTCACTATGGGGGTTCTGTTGCCCTAGGGGAGGTTTGTTTTTTAATATTTGAGCACTCTGTTTGCGTCGGAAAGGTGTTTATCCACCTATTATTTGAACATCTGCTGTGCTAAGTGAAGTACGTGCGCCAAAACCACATCAACTGATGTTTGCTGGGGAAAGAATTCCTTGTGAACCCTGAACTCTTCCCCTCCTGCCTTGGGGTTTCTCTTGGGCAGAGCTACCCTGAGAACTGGTGTCCTGGGGAAGCAGGGGGTCTTCTCCAGTTTCCTCCCTGCTTTCCTACTGGGTGGGCCGCCCCCAGTCCCGCCCACCAGGACTCCCGGAAGACGTGTGGGTGGAGACGGAGGTGGGACCTAACCACTCCCTTATAACCTGCCTGGAGCTCAAGGCCCTTGCACAGGGTCATCTCAGAGGATCTGAGTCAGCATTCGGGGGCACACCCGAAGGGCTGCAGGGCCCCATTCAGAATGAGGCCTTTGGTTGGCAGACCCTTCTCAGGTCTGCTGCTTTGGGGCTGAAATGTGTAACGGCCCAGACAGGCCAGCATGGAATGGCTGATCTCCGTTCTTTCCTCACCTGGCAGCTGTCCACGCCCCCGGCCAGGAGCCCCGCGCAGAGCTCGGTGGTCCGGACCCTCCCGTTCAGGTGTTCCTGGCGGTTACACACTTTGTTCTCGATCACCGGCAACTGGGCTTCCTTGAGGAGGCCGGCGCCGTAGGTGCCTGTGTTTACAGAGATCAAAGATACAGTTACTGGGTCCAAAATGCACGTGCAGGGAAAGTTCCAGAACAACAGACCTGAGATGCTAGATCTCTCGTTTGCCCCTGAGACTGGACAAGAGTTAGTTCCTAATAATACTCGAACTCCTTTTTATTGTTTGCCCCTTGAGAGTGTAAACATTATATACGATTTCGTGTTCTCAAGTCCTGGATTTAATAATCAGGTTTTCTGTGTGGGGTTCGGGGGTTCGTTTGCATTTTCATTTTTTCTTTCTTTTTTCTTTTTTTCACTATAAAGAGCTTCTTCTTCTTCTTCTTTTTGTAAAGAAAGATTGAGAAATACAACTGCTACTATTTTATATATTCTCTTTCAGACTTTTAAAATATATCTATTTTTATTGATTATGCTATTACCGTTGTCCCATATTTTTCTCCCTTTATTCCACTCTGCCCTGTACCCCCCCACCATCATTTCCCCACCTTAGTTCATGTCCGTGGGTCATACATGTAAGTTCTTTGGCTTCTCCATCCCCATACTATTCTTAACCTCCCCCTGTCTATTTTGTACGTACCATTTATACCTCTTATTCCCTGCACCTTTTCCCCTATTCTCCCCACTCCCCCCCTCTGATAACCCTCCATGTGATCTCCATTTCTGTGAATCTGTTCCTGTCTTAGTTGTTTGCTTAGTTTGAATTTTGTTTTTAGTTTTTTTAGGTTCAGTTGTTGATAGCTGTGAGTTTGTTGACATTTTACTGCTTGTATTTTTTATCTTCTTTTTCTTAGGTAAATCCCTTTAACATTCCATATAATAAGGGCTTGGTGATGATGAACTCCTTGAACTTGACCTTATTTGGGAAGCACTTTATCTGCCCTTCCATTCTAAATAAAAGCTTTGCTGCAGAGAATAATCTTGGGTGCAGGTCCTTGCCTTTCATGACTTTGAATACTTCTTTCTAGCCCCTTCTTGCCTGCAAGGTCTCTTTTGAGAAATCAGCTAGTAGTTTTATGGGAACTCCTTTATAGGTAACTGTCTTTTTTTTTTCCGCTTGCTGCTTTTAAGATTCTCGCCTTATCTTTAATCTTGGGTAATGTAATTATGATGTGCCTTGGTGTGTGCTTTCTTGGCTCCAACTTCTTTGGGACTCTCTGAGCTTCTTGGACTTCCTGGAAGTCTATTTCCTTTGACAGATTGGGGGAAGTTCTCTTTTATTTTTTTTTTCAAAGAAATTTTTAATTTCTTGCTCTTCCTCTTCTCCTCCTGGCACCCCTATGATTTGGATGTTGGAACATTTAAAGTCATCCCAGAGGTTCCTAAGCTTCTTCTCATTTTTTCGAATTCTTGTTTCTTTTTTTTTTATGCTGTTACAGTTGTTCTATTCCCCCTTTATTCCCCTCCACCCTACCCCTCATCCCCACCATTACCCCCCTTTAGTTTATGACCATGTGTCTCAAGTCCTTTAGATTCTATATTTCCCATGCTATTCTTGCCCCCCCATCTATTTTCTATCTACTGTCTATGCTACTTATTTTCTGTACCTTCTCCCTGCTTCTCCTCCTCCCACTCCCCTGTTGCTAACCCTCCTTGAGATCTTCATTTCTATGTTTCCACTCCTGATCTAGCTGTCCTTTTAGTTTGCTTTCGTTTTAGGTGTGGTTGTTAATAACTGTGAGTTTGTTGTCCTTTCATTGTTCATGTTTCTTTAACTTCTTTTTCTTAGATAAGTCCCTTTAACATTTCATATAATAAGGGCTTGGTGATGATGAACTCCTTGAATTTGATCTTATCTGAGAAGCACTTTATCTGTCCTTCCATTTTAAATGAAAGTTTTGCTGGATAGAGCAATCTTGGTTGTAGGTCTTTAGATTTCATGACTTGGAATACCTCTTTCCAGCCCCTTCTTGCCTGTAAGGTCTCTTTTGAGAAATCAGCTGACAGTCTGATGGGGACTCCTTTGTAGGTGACTGTCCCCTTAGCTCTTGCTGCTTCTAGGATTCTCTCCTTCATTTTAATCTTGGCTAATGTAATTATGATGTGCCTTGGTGTGTTCCTTCTTGGGTCCAACTTCTTTGGGACTCTCTGAGCTTCCTGGATTTCCTGGAAGTCTATTTCCTTTGCCAGATTGGGGAAATTCTCCTTTATTATTTGTTCAAATAAGTTTTCCACTGGTGGCTGTGCCTTTCCCCCTTCTGGTACCCCTATAATTCGGATGTTGGAGCGTTTAAAGATGTCCTGGAGGTTCCTAAGACTCTCCTCATTTCTTTGAATTCTTGCTTCTTGACTCTTTTCTGTTTGGCCATTATTTGCTTTCTTCTGGTCCACTCCATTGATCTGAGTCCCAGTTTCCTTTTCATTGCTATTGGTGTCCTGTGAAATTCCATTCATTTCCATTAGTTTCGCCTTCATATATTTGTCTAATTTGTCGGTATAATCAACCAGTTCTGTGAGGATCCTGATCACCAGTGTTTTAAACTGTGCGTCTGTGAGTTTTGCTATTTCTTCATCGCTTAGATCTATTGGCTCTGGGGCTCTGAGATCCTCCTGCACCATTCTTGGTCTGTTCGGGCCCTTTAAGTGTGAGAAGCGGCGCCTTGGATTCCCAGGTCACTGGGTTGTGACGCTGTATGTGGGGGCGTGGCCAGAGCGGGGAAATGGCGACCCCCCTCTGCCACTTCTCACAGCTGGGTGCGGAGGAGCAGTGCCTTAGGTGGTTCACCTGGGCCGGGCCACTCAGAGTCGCTGGGTTATGACGCTGTATGTGGAGGTGGGGTCAGAGCAGGGAAATGGCAGCGCCCTCCACTGCCGCTTGCTGTGGGGACCTGCCGGCCCGGTCCAACCGCCCACTCCCTCGTCTGTCCACCTGTGCACAAATGCGCCACCTCAGTCAACAGGCAGCCCCGCTGCCCCGCTGTCTCCCCCGCAGTCACTCACCTGGTCGCTCGCTCGGTCACTCACTAGGTCCGACCCTGAGCCTGGATTCTGCGGGCCTGAGTCCGTCTGGCCGAGTTTTCCTGTGCAACCCTGCTCCACCAGCCGCTGGTTTCGCCCCTTACCGGTCAGGCTGAAGAATTTGTTGTTAACGGACTTCCAAAAAGTTCAATTTTCCGTGTTCTGGCTGTGTTTTCTGTTGCTAATATTTAGTTTTCTCTAATCTTGGTTGTGTGAGAAGGCACGGCACATCCACCTATGCCTCCATCTTGGCGGAAGTGAATTCTTGTTTCTTCATTCTGTTCTGGTTGAATGTTTATTTCTTCCTTCTTCTGTGATCCATTAATTTGAGTTCCAGTCTCCTTCCCTTCACTGTTGGCTTCCCTTATTTCACTTTCCATAGCCTGCACCTTTTCCTCTATTTTGTGACCATACTGACCCATTTCTGTGAGCATCCTGATCACCAGTGTTTTGAAATCTGCATCTGATAGGTTGGCTATCTCTTTGTAACTTAGTTGTAATTTTTCTGGAGCTTTGATCTGTTCTTTCATTTGGGCCCCCCCCTTTTTTTTTTTTTTGGTCTCCACATGTCTATTATGTAGTGAGGGGCAGAGCCTTAGGTGTTCACCAGAGCCGGGTGACTGACGTCACTGTGCTGTGTCACTGACTGTGGGGGAGGGGTCCAAGAAGGAATAGTGCCTCTTGCTCAGCTCTCCGTTGGCTTTCAGTCATTTTCCCTGCTACCCACAAGCAAACTGGGCCCTGCTGGTGCTGATTCCTGGGTGGGTGGGTTTGTATACATTGTAGGACCCTGTGGGTCTCTCCAGTGAACTCTCCTGTGAGGCTTGGAGTTTCTCCCACTGCTGCAACCCCCACAAGTTTTTACATTCAGAGGTTTGGAGGCTTTATTTCCCTGCACTGGAACCCTGAGTTATGTGGTTTGTCTCGCTCCCTGGTTGTTACCTTGGGTTTATCTGCATGCAAATGTCGGACTGCCTGGTCCACCAGCCACCTGCCCCGGTCCTCCAGCTGCTGCCTTGACAAAAGTCCTCCCTGCCCAGATGCCCGTCTCTGCCCTTCCGATAGGTCTGGATGAATGTTCCTTTAACTCCTTGGTTGTCAGACTTCCATACAGTTTGACTTCCGGTGGTTCTAGTTATTTTTTTATTTTTAAATTTGTTGTTGTCCTTCTTTGGGTTGTGAGGAGGCACCTCCATCTTGGCCAGAAGTCCTCCTTCAGGCTTTTGATATGCTTCTTTGACTACTTCTACTATACTGAACAATGTTATACCCTGATTTTTTTCACTCAACATTATATAATTAGGATTCTGTTACAATGTTGCAATCTTCATCATTATTATTTTAGTGGGAAGTAACTGCTTAGTGGGTATGAAGTTTCCCTTTGGGGTTAGGAACATTTTCCAGAAATTGTGGTGTCGCTTGCACAACACTGTAAACGTGCTAAATGCCAGTGAATTGTGCGCTTCAGAAATGGTCAATTTTGTTACATGTATTTTACCACAACCCTTCAAAAAGAATAGCTGTCATTCACTGAGAATGAACTCTTTCAGGCACGAGCTCATTACGTGCTGTGGCTGATTGAATCCCTCTCCAGTGCTCTTCTGAAACTGGCACGTTTGTTATTCCTGCTGCCAGTTGAGGAGACCGAGGCTCAGAGAGCGGGGAGCTGGTCCGGGTCTCCCCGTGGGAGGGTAGCGAAGCCGGGTGTGGAAGCTGGTTTTGTGATGTCATTCCCTGAATTCTTCCCGCATGCTCATTGGCTCCTACAGCTGTTTCTAGCTTCCGCATGTTCGTTCATACGCTTTACTCCTATTCCTTAGTATTTTCTTAAGTCCGAATTCCCAGAAATTATACAGACATATTTATGGCTCCCCCAAAGGATCATCAAATTATTTTCTAAAAGGGCATGGCAGTTTCCAGTGTCACCAGAAAAGAGGTCACTTCACCACATCCTGATGGGTAGTTAATGTTTTAAAATTATTTTTCTAATATAATAGGTGGAAATTGTCCTAATTCATTTTTAACTTACATTTCTTGTTTTATTCATTGCATCTCTTTTTGTGGTGAAAAACTGCCTTGCTTTTAACTTGGGCAAATGGAGCTAGAGCACTGGCAAAACTAACGGAGAAAATGCAGTTTTTCTGAATGGACACCCCCAGGTACACCCACAAATCGAGCAGTTTTCCAGCTTTGCAAGCCCAGTTTCACCAGAGGTTTGCAGAAATCTTTGCACTGTGAGCACGAAACAGCAAGGGATGAAGCACCATCTCTTCTCCAAAGACCTGGAATAACTTCGTTCAGTCCTCTCCAGAGCAGCAAGCCTGGCCTGCAGTTGCCAGGAGCTGGGAGTGGAGCTGCCGCGGGAAGGAGGGCTGGTCCCAGGAACCACTGGGAGGTGCACCCCTCCCACGGAGTAGGTGTGTGGCAGGAAGGGCCTTCTCAGTCAGTTCCAGTCATCAGTTCCCCCAGGGCTTCCGCTTTCTGAGCAGGACAGACCTGCAGACGCTGACAGACCCTCCCTCGGCTGGTGCTGGAAGCTGATGTGCTCTGTGTGGACGTGCTGCCATCCTGTGGCCACAGTGGAAATGACACCTCTGGGGGCTGGAAGAGACTTTGGGACCAGAAGCCCTGAGGGGGCTGTGCAGGGAGGGGAGCAGGACCTCCCGAAGCGCCTGTGATTGCTGATAACCTGCTGCCAGGACGGGTCCACACGCCTTGCTCTGGGACACGAAAGAAGCCGGGACAGCTTGGAGATGGAAGGGGAGAACAGGAGAAGGCTGGCCCCACAGCAGTAGTGGAGAGAACAGGACTGGTTCGAGGTCATTGCTGACAGGCAGGAAAATTCTAGACACCCCGACTCAGGCTCTGTGATGCCCCCTGGCCCAAGGACTGCCGAGGACTGTTTTCTCAGTGGACGTGCGAGCTTGGCCAGGAGAGACGGGGCAGCCTGGTGAATGGGGGTTAGAAGGGTGTGGGTGGTGGGTGGGACAGAGGAACAGCCACTGGGCTCGGTGGGGTGGGCAGGCCGGCCTGGGTTCCCTCAGGCTCCGCTGCACGCAGGCTCTGCGATGGTTATTGGTGACTGAGACGGTGATGGTGGCGATGCTGATGTTGATGCTGGTCGAGGTGGTGATGGTGGTGGTGGCGATGCTGGTCGAGGTGGTGGTGATGGTAGCGATGACGGTGGTTGTGTAAGCACAGCAGCTGCTGACGTGCCATTTCCCAAGCACCGGGCACTTCACATGCCTTATCTTCACGCTCACACCAGCTTTGTAAGGTGAGGAGACTGGGGTTTGGAGAGGCTGAAGCACTTCCTGCCGTCACGTGGAAGCTGATGGAACCGGAACTCACATCCTGACCCTTAGGATTTTAGGTCCCTGCTTTAATCAGCCAGTGGGCTTTGCAGATGGCTCAGAAGTTCCTCTCTGGACTTAACCCAGCCTGCGTTGGCTGCTCTGCCACTTGCAAGAGCGTCAGATGAGAGCCCATTGTCCACCGAGGAACAGGTTCAAAAGCAGTCTGTGGCTCCTCGAAGTACCAGTGGGAGCCAGGGGCCTGACTCGGGTCTGTCTGCCACCTGAACCCTCCACAACGGCCCAGCAGCACTCTTCGTTTGCAAAATGGGGACAAACACTGAATTCCCAGGCGTTAGTGGCATCTAAATTTTTTTAAATGTGAAGAGTTGACTAGCTTGGCACATCCACAAGGACACTTCATCGGCCACATTGCCCTTTACACCTCCGTGTTTACAGGCTCCGAAAGGCACAGGGGACTGTGGGGCCCCGGGAGGCAAGTTTTTTGAGACAGTGGAGAAAGTGCAGAGAGGACTACAAGTTTGAAATGACCTAGGCCAGCAGGTTTCAACCTCTTTTAAAGCCACAAAACCTCTCTTCGAAGGAGAGCGTATGCAAAGGGCCGATGTGGCAACACAGTCTGGGAGCCCTGGTCCTTCGGACGGGGGCTGTGATGCAAAGGGGAGCAGAGGTGGGGCGTGCCCACTGTGCCCAGCTGGTGGCAGCGCCGGGCTGCTTCCCGGAACTCCGGGCTCACCAGCACCCCTGAGAAGGTGAGGCCGAGACCTAAGACATCCTCAGTGTCCCAGGCCCGAGCCTGAGGGATGTCGTGGGGATCGGGACCCGCTGCAGGGAGAAGACAGGGTCCCCCTTGCTGGTGCGGGACCGGTGTGGGGCCCTGCACAAAGGTTTCCTTTCTCACCCCATCAAGCACCTACGCGAACTGGGGCCTTTCCTTCGAGCTGTCAGTCTGCCCGTCCCCAGCAGTCTCCACACACATCAGAACTAGGGGGTACCGGCGGATTCAGGGTTAACTCTGATTTTAGTTGCTGTTTCACACCCTGTGTGGGAACTCAGTACGGCCGACTGCACATGAGCAATAACCGGACGGCCTTCCTTTACAACCTTGATTCAAAGCCCTACTCACCTGGGAGCGCGACTTCCACGTTGAACCGATGAGCTAAGAAGGAGACTCGAAGAACCACCCGCCCTCCCCTGGCCCGTGGCCCGTGGCCCGTGGCCTGTGATGACCGACTGTGGAGAACGAGGCAGGTGCCCAGACAGAGTCGGGAGGGTGGGCCTTGCTCATTGGTAGGAGGTGGTTCAGAGGCAGGGGGAGTTCGTCTCACCTTGCGTCTCCCCCCAGCCGGTGATGTAGCACACCGTCCGATCCGCGACCACGTAATTGGGGGACGGCAGACAAGCTGGGATCACGTTACGGGTGATGACGGCAGGGCTGAAAGGGAAACGGCAAACATGTGACTGCACTGCTGGGGGGTCCTCCAGGCATCCATGGTTCTCCTACAAGATGCCACCGCCCCTGAAGCCCCACAGTCCTCCGAGGGGGCACTTCCTTGGGGCGACGGCACTGTGCACCAGGGTGAGCAACTGTTCACCCTGACATCTGCCTGTATGAATAACCGAATGGTGTGTTAAGAAGGCGTCCGTGTGGACAGGAAACCCGAGGTGGGAGGAGGGGTGACAAAGACTCACTTCCATGTCTATTCTGTGCCCGGTCCCCTGTCACCATGCCGCACCAAGTGCGTGCTTTTGCAACAACTCAGCGGGGCCTCGGTCTGCAGGTGGACCGAGCCGAAATGCTATCACCAGCATTAATAGTGGTACACACTTCGCGTGACCAAGGGCGAGTCTCCCGTCCTGCGGGTCCTCAGTTTCCTCACCGGTGAAGGTGGCGGTGAGAACGCAGTAAGACGCTAGATACCAAAGGAAAGAGGGTTGGAGACATTGGCATAAATGGCAGGATGGCACTGTGATCCAAGGGCCTTCCCCTGTCGTGGTGTCCCAGGGCTTCTGAAACTCCAGAATGCTCATCTTCAGACTTGCTTCTACGTTAGCAAGTTCGAGAGGAAAACAGATGGGGGATGGGAGATGTGACCAAATGTGACCAAAAATCTCCTCGCGGCTGCCAGCTTTGAAGCAGACACACCCTCTCGAAGTCTCCAGAATAGACCTGGCCTCTCACCCGGAGTGACCCACACGCCACTCTGTGGGTGCCCCTGCTAGAACGCCTGTGCCTTAGGCTCCTAGGGTGTAGGGGCATGGGGTGGGTACTGTGAAGCTCAAGTGACTCAGTCTAGCAGAGACACTTCCAGAACCCCAAATTTACCAAGTCACTTGTTCAGGCAGTTGGGCCCCCCCCCCATGGCCCTGGAAGGACCGTGTGAAAGCAGGGAGGCGGCTGCTCTCAGGCTGGGCCAGGAGGGCCCTTGCCTTCCTTCCTGGAGAGCCCACGCACCCCAGGAAGTTGGTCCTCGGTGGACCAGCCCCCACAGTGTAGCATTCGGACGCCTGCCCGCAGGCCATGTGCCGGCCTGGCCCCTTTTGGACACTGGCCCCTTGTGCGGGGTCCCACGGTCACGGGGACCACCAGATTTAGCCCTCATGCTCAGAGTGCCTCAATGACTTTCCCAGACATGTCTGTCCTCAGAAGAGCTGTTTACTTGGCTGTGTCCACCGGGACCTCTTTGCCAATGCTGCTGCCCTAAAGCGGCCTATGCGAAAGTGTCATTTTGTCAGGCTTAGTAGGAAAACCCCGTTTCAGTGAGAAAAGTGAAACCAAAGAGAAGTGTTTGCATTTGTGGACTGTGTGTGTGTGTGAGGTGACGTTCTGGTTTCCTTAAGGGCTTTGAAATCCATAGTCCCTTTTGGGTTCCCCCAGCGTGGTAACACATCGGGAGGAGAAGTGTCCCCCCAGAGTAACTGGACAGGACAGTTCTCTGACTGTGACGGTCACTAGCTAACTGTGCACCTTGAGGGAGGGCGCTTGAAGGGTAACCGTGTCCCTCATTTCAACTGGCTCTGTTTCCACACGAGGGGACCGAGCCCTGACACCTCTTCGTCAAGACCACAGCGAGTATGAGGCGGAAGGGCCGGGCCCGGCTTTTCCCGCCTGGAGCTCGACGTTCTTCCCCGAAGGCCTGGTGCCTGTCCTGTCCTAGGCAGTGGCTCTCCCACACGTCTGCCCACAACGCCCAGGAAGCTCACGCCTCCTGGGCACCGGCTGTGCGGCCAGGTACCTGCTCAGCTTCAGCAAAGCAATGTCCGCCCGGCTGGGCTCTGGGAACAGCCTGGCCACTTCTATCACCTGCACATCATCTCCAAGAATATTCTCTTCGTGTGCGCCCAGGACGACCTTGTAAGACGAAGCCCGGGGGGACCTGGGAAAGACAGTGACATAAGTGGCAAGATCGGGGCTGGCCCCTTCCTCAGGTGCCCTTCCGAGCCATGGATGTGTGGCCCTACCCAGACAATCGGTTTCCTCTACCAGCGAAAAGGACAGGCCACCCTTTGCCTGAGCCTAAGGAATGTCCCCAGGGGTGCCTTTGGTCCATGAAACCGACACTGAAGTCGGCACAAGGTCAGACCCCCTGTCAGGGGAGACTCCAGGGGTGCTGTGCCTGTGGCCACCTGCCACTCTCTGCTGCCTCCAAACCCACCTGGACTGGCCCTTCCCTCTCTGTTTCCCTGCAGCAGTGCCCTGTCCTCTCCCATTCAGTGGCCCCGGCCTCAGGCTTCTCGCACCCACTCCCTGGTCCCAGCGGCACTGCCACAGAAGGAAGGAAAGGAGGGGACTGGAAAGGACAGAGGTGGGAAGTCCAGGAGACAAGCCCGCATGCCAGCTGTGCCTGCACGTACCTCTCCAGGCAGTGGGCGGCAGTGAGCACCCACTGCGGGGCGATCAGGGTGCCCCCGCAGAAGTGCTGTCCGAACCTAGGAGGGAAGCACACCCGGCGTCAGTTCTAGTCCGCCGGGCCCGTCTGCGGAAAGCCCGAGGGGCGCCCGCTGGACTCTGGCCATGCCCACGCTCCCAGAGGGCAGGCCGCGGCCCGTCCCCAGGACGGTGGCAGCTGTGAGTTGTGCCTCAGTTGGGGGTGTCCCAGAAGGCCCCATCCACAGCACTCTTGAAGGTAGGTGGCTGGGGGTGGCTCGGGGACATCCTGTCCAGGAAAGCGAGCCCACGTGACTCCAGTGTGAAGCCCGCATCCACGACTTAGACGGCTTAGCCCTGGACTTGAACAGAAGGGACTGGGGAGAAACCATCCACCCAGTTGAGGTCTCTCTAGTTTTTCTGTTGAAAAGATTTATGCACAACCTGGTGAGTCACTCTGCCGGCAGCCGGATGGGACCCTGGATATTGGTGGGTCGCGGGAGTCTGCTGATTGCACCTGAGACGATGCCCTTTTGGAGGGGAGGGCTCCCGAGTCACTTACTCTGTGGGACTGTTCAGGCCCGTGGCAGCTCATGCAGAGAGCGTGAGTCACTCTGGACCAGGTGGCTAGTCCGGAATGGCTAGTGGGCAAGTCACTCTCATCAGTCAGGAATAGACCAGTGCGGTTTGGGAAGAAGGAATTCGAAATAGGCGAGAGGTGAAGATCGCATAGAAAGGAGGTGCTAGATGATAAGGCAAAGGAAGGAAAAGCCAGCTCAGCAATAGGACAAGACAGACCGGACTCAGGTTTTTCAGGGGCATCTCGTAGGCGTGGGGCCGGAGGGCTCCCGGGTGGGGACCAGCAGCCGAGCGCAGGCGGGCTGGCGCAGGAGGGAGACAAGGAAGCGGCACATGCCAGCAGCTCGCTGTCCCACGTGGCCTGCTTTCCGTGAGACACCAGGAAACCGGAGCTCACTGAGGGCAGATGCCACCGAGGTGATGACCCCAATGGCCGGGGTTTAGTGGGGTCAGAACTGATCGCTCCCAATGCATGGCGACCGTGAACTGCCCTGCCTGAAGGGGCATGCGTTCCAGACTGGGCGAGCGCCCTCTGACGTGTAGTCAGTCAAACCTGCATCTGTGACGGACCTCAGGAAACCGGGTCTGTGTTCCCCGCCTGGCGTCCCGTTTCTGAACGCATGTCCTTCTCTTTACCGGGGACAGGGGACGGCCCCACAGCCCACCCGCATCCGCAGTCCTCCCGCAGTCCTGGGACTCACGGGTCGTGGCGGCTGCACGGTTGGTGGCAGCTGCCCAGACCAAGAAAAAGCTTCCCATTCTATTTTCAAAGTAGAGAACCTCGAAAAATTAAACTTTTTATTTTTCTAGTTTCCTTCCTCCCGATGAGGAGGAGGCAGAGCCGGGCCCTGATGCATGGCTTTAGTGCGCACGGGGGAAGGTTTTTCATTCTCACACACAAGGATGAAATACATTGTTTCTAGACACGTGGTTACCTTGTTCTAAGACTGACTTGCCAGGGCCAGGAATGCCGGTTGGACACACAGCCACCTACGACCCTTCCGGGACATTTCTTCGGCTCCACCTTGGGCTTTCCACAGTCAAATGAAGCGGACTCTGTGGCAGAGGAGAAAGAGTCGCATCTGAAGGAGTGAAAGGTAACCATTCTGTTATCAGCTCACCATAAGTGAACGACTCCTGGCCAGAGCCCTGACTGGTCGTGAGAACATGGGCGTGGTGGGGAACGGAGGGGTGGATGCATGGAGTGGACGGACAGCTGTCAGAGGGGCGGGGGCCCTGGATGGAAGAAGGTGAAGGGATTAGGCAAAACCATATATGCATCACCCACAGACACAGACAACAGGGTGGGGACAGCCAGAAGGGAAGGGGGAGGGGAGGGGGAAGGGGCAAAGGAGGGGTGGGAGACAGGGGCGGAAAGAGACTGCTGGGGGCGCCGGGCGTGCGATGCAGTGCGCCCACGACCTTTTAGTGAGCTGTACCCCGAAACCTGGATGTTGATGCAAACCAGTGTCACCCCAATAAATTCAGTTAAAAAAAGAAAGCAAAGAGAAAAGTAAAGAAAACTCTTAAACAATTTCAAAAGTCAAAAAGAAAGAATACAAGCCTGCTCTGGAATATCTTTTCCAAGTTTCGAAAGTAGTAGTAGGCAACACAGAACTTCCCCCTTTCACAAAAATACGAGTACTTTTGAAAAACTGTTCTTGGGAGTGACTGAGTACATTGGTGCAGTTAGGCTTGAGAATGGGGGCATCTCTGAGAGCACCCAACCGACCCAAACTGTCACAATCTGTATTGATGGCAGTATGTCGTCATTACCGCTGCCACCACCACCACCCAGCCACAGCTGTCATCCCCACTGAAAGGCAATAAGGGTGTTTTTAAATGGGAATCTCTGTGACATGTATGTTCAAATGTATGTGTCTGTGATTGTACGTAGCAAGGGTGATCTCCCCTAAACTGAAATACCTCCTTCTCCCAGCCGGCCTCAGGGCCGCTCCTCCGGGGGGCCGCTGAGGCGCACCCAGGGCCCTGAAGATGACTGGCACTCGCCTGCCGGCCCCTCCACTCACCTCCTGCCTGCTCCCCGCCCCACCGAGCCTGCAGGGCTCCTGGAGAGCAAGGTCAGTGTCTGCCTTTGGTCGCACCCACTAACGCCTCAGAGAGTTTAGGGCTCACAAAACGCTTCTCTGTTATCTGGGCTCCTAAAGAGCTTCAGACACGTTAAGTGTCAGTCATTGTTCATCATAATACTGACGGGGGGGGGGTCGTTTTCCGTCTTAACCAGAGGTTCTGCCCGCTCTCGAACCTGGAACCCAAGTTTTCCAAATAACTTTCCACTTGTTGTGGCCCGTTCTGAGCATCTCTATAACAAGTCTTTCTGGAAAAAAGGAAGTGTGTGGCACCACGGAATTGTGCTGTCTGGTACAGGTCCTAATGTGTGCTGGTGCCTCCCACTGGGGGGGCTCTCGGAGGGGCTGAGGGGAGAATGGCGCCACCCTGAAGGGTCCGGCGCTGTGGTCCCGCGTCCCGGGCAAAGTCAGAGGTTTCTCTCCGCTTTTACTGACTTATCATCGCACTGAATGTGTGGGTGGGATTGAAAGGAGTTACTAAAATCACTCAACAAGTAAACATTTAAAATAAATGAATATCAGTGAATAAAAATTATGTGTAAGGTTGGCATCCTTCAATATTTTGAAGTTAATATGACAGAGAAAATTTGCACAGCCCCGTGATAACACTGAGGAACGGAGCACGGGGCTGATGGAGCACAGTTGTGACTTCAGATTCTTTCAGTGACGATGTGACAGTTGCAGCCGGTGTGGCGTTAATTCTTTAAAATGACACTGTCTCTGTCCTCAGGCTTTTCAGGGGAGTCGTTGAAAGAAGTTTATGTGTGCCCTAGCCTAGAAAGTTGATCCATAATACATCTTCACTTGAAAGATGAGTTTTTCTTCTGAATTAGAAATAGTGTAAAGTTTGGAAACTTTAAGGAAAATGATTGTTAGGAAATTTCCCACTTATATTTTAAGAGATCCCAAATCTCTCAGGGAATGAGCGATGAAATCTTTAAAGAAAAAGAGAAAAAATGCAAACAAACTAAATAGACAAAATCATACCTCGAAGACATTTCTCATCCTGAAAAACCCGGATAAAATTAGCAAAGCCCACAGACGCCACACACAGAAATTCCTTAAGGCGGGAGAGCCGCCCTTCCAAGCACTGACCTGCCGCAGGGCAGGGACTGGTGTTCACAATTTAATTCGATTCTATTTTATTCAGCAAATAGGTGCCATACACATATGTATACACACACGCATGTACGTGTGTGTGTCTGGTACCTACCACCAGCCTTGCACTGGGCTAAGCACTAGGAAAAGGGAATAGCTCAGACCCTTCGTATTGTCTCCAATCCCTACATTCTAATATATGTACAAGATGTTAAACTGTAAGGTTCACCTGAGGACCCAAGGATGCCGGGGGTGGGGGGGGAGCTTTTTACACTGATTTCAAAGGAAATGGCCTCTCCTAGAATTCGGGTATCCTCGCCCAACTCAAGGATGTAAAAGAATCAGGTTCTTAGAAATTGGAGAAAGAAGAAAGACTGGGAGGAGGATTTTTCCAGAGGCTGTGAGGCCCCCCAGCTCCCCGAGATGTGGGCATGTGTGGTTAATCCCAAAGTGGTGGGAAGGATTTCAGTTGGACCCCCAGCCCAACCCAAGGACCATCTTGTGGGCAGGGGGTCTGCTGGCCCCTGGAAAGCCCCCTTCTTAGGTGAGGTGTGTCCCTCCCAGACTCAGCGGTGGAGGCCGTGGCAGGAAGGCCAGGCTGATAGACAACTTGAAGGCCATTCCGGGAGGAGGCAGCCTGTCCCACGTGGAGGACCTGGGCCCATAAGAGGTGAACCAGAAGGAAGGAGCTGAGGGTCAAGGGTGACCAGCTGAAGGGAGGCACCGGCCCTATCTGCGGACGTCAGGTGGAGGGCCACCATGAGAATGTCTGCAGAGCAGGGCCAACACCCATTTGAGAAAGAGCCAGGTATAAACGCACCCTAAATCCAGACAGCACAGCACTGCAGCTGAGTACCATCCCTCCTCTCCTACCTCGTCCCCCTGCCCCTCCCAGAAGCAAACCCCACAGCGGGGTCCCGTGCTCTAACCCTGCCTCCGTGCTGCCTGCCTGGACCGTCTCAGGTGCCTGTCTGCCGTGGCGTTGCAGCCAGGCTGCTCCCCTTCAGCTTGAGTCCCCCCACCAGGCAGACTCCAGCACCGGCACGCTGACCTTGGTCACCAGAGCAGATTCTGTGCAGAGATGGGGTCGAGCCAAAGCGGCTTTCGGCATCCTCCAGACCGCCCATGGAGGGTCTCTGAGCCCAGGCCCACCCTGTCACGGGCCCCAGACTCATACCCCCTAGAAATCTCCGAGAAAGGAGGAGGGCACCCGGACCCACCCTCTCTAAGTCCTGCGGGCATGGGCAGCGAGTGGACAGTCGCCTTTAGAGGACGCCAGAGCTGAGGAAGGGTCTCTCGTGAGTTTTTAGGATAACAGCTCATGGGTTTCCAGCATACCCTACCTGCTTCACTGTTTCCTGCTGTTTGAATTTCCTCTTACCTCTCGGCTGCTGAAAGGGAGAATGTGCCCTCTGGCTGACTTTAAGTTTGTTTTCCCTGCATCCTAACGCGATGTCGGGGAGCTGAGTGGACCCCTCGCCAGGCTGCGTAGACGGCCTCTCAGCTTGTGCTTCTGGAGAATTCTGCATTTACTTTACTGAAGGTGTGAGTGGCTCCCTAACCCGTGGGCCTTGCAGGACACATTCCAGAGGCCCCTGATGAAGAAAGAGGGCCGGGGGGGCGGGCAGCCCAGCTGAGGCCAACTCGAAAGCCTTTTTTCTCCTGGAGATCCATGTTCAGGAGGTGAGGCTGCATTTATGCGAGAAGTCAGTTCCTTTCTAAGAAGAAGACAACGTACCACAACGAGGAACATCACAGTAGTCGAAAAGCTTGCTTGGGTTCATTGTGTAGCACCAGGGACCGTTGTCGTCACCATCAGGGTTTCGGCAGTACTGAAAAAAGGGCAGGTGTTTACGGGACAGTGTACACCTGGCAGAAGAGGAAGGTCCCTAGGCTCAGGCACGCCACAGCTGTCCTTAGAGGGTGGCAGGTAAGTGCTCCTTTTGGGGGAGGAGAAGGGGTAAACTTCAGGGTCCTTCTGACTCGTTCCATGCCACTGGCCACGTCTCCTTGTTCAAAAGGAGCTCCAGCCATGAGGGGACTTAATGTAGAGACGCTACACGGGGGACTCATGTCAGAGGAGACCTTAGACGCCCAGCAATGGAGGACCATGGGACGGAACTGACTCATCGTGTGCCTGGTTCATCTCAGCAGCCCGATGGGGCTGTTTGCTGGGGGTCCAGGAACGTGCATCCCCAGGGACTGCATTCCTTCCCCGGATCAAACCATGAAAAGCTGTCTTCTGTGACCTCTTCTACGCACCCCAAAGTCACCCACAAAGTGTGAGACACTAGGCTACATCCCACTGTGTGGAATCCTAATGGCCCAAGTTGTTTTCTAGAAAATCGGACTAAAACATCACACATCACCATGGATCGCCAGAATCTAGAACCTAAAAAATCGCACCCACGGGGGAGGAGAGGCCTGCGGGCCGGCTTAGGAGCGTGCTCGTGAGCCCGCTGGTGCCAAGTGTCCTGACGCCTGCTGTCCCGTACGCTCGGCCCCCCGAAACCTCTCGTGTTTCCCCCGCTCCACCCCACACCAAAGAGCAGTCCAGGCTGACGGGCTGTAGCACAGAACCCCTTCTGTTGGCCGAGATTGGTCAGCAGAAGGCGAAACGCAGCCCCGACCGGAGCGGCTTACGTTTTTTTCCAGGCCCGCCCTCGGGTTGCTCTGTGGGGTGAAAATGTTGTGTGTGTGGGGCTCCTGCGCATCCCAGGCCTGGCACGGCGTGCCCGTAACCGTGGTCGCCTTCTTGCCCCGATAGCCTTTGCCGTTCCCAAGCATGCAGTCTGCGGGGGAGAGAAGAGGGTGGGTCACCTGCTCCTGCGCTGACCCTGGGGACAGGGAGCGAAGGCAGCAGCCTCAGGTTTCCCCAACGACGGGATCCATGGCCGTGCCGGGAGGAGGCCCAGCACGCAGATGACGGCTGTGACTGCTGCCTGGGGGACCAGGTGCCTGGAATGCACATTGCCTTGGAAATTACCCCGGCTGCGCAGGGGGTGAGACGGAGGATGTTGGCCAGGCCGCCAAGACAATCTGCCCTGCGTGAGCGTAGGAGGTGGACAGAGACAGCTTGCCCCGCCCTGGGGGTTTGCGGGAAGCAGAGGCTGCTGGGAATGCTTAGGCGGCTCTTGAACATCTCCTTCTCACCAAGGGTGCACATGGCAAGGGTTTCTAGAAACTTCTTTAGCTGGAATTGTGAGTGGAGTCCCTACCCTCTGGGGTTAAAAAGGTTTCCAGAGATGACTTGGGACACCTTCCCCAAGCTTGTCCCTCATCGCAAACCATAGGACCCTCAGAGAACTTGATGTGTGTTGCATATGGGGGCAGGGACACAGTGTTCTCAGGGCCACTTGGAAAATCTGGAAAGCAGAAGCTGGGCTGGGTGGGTTCTCTGCCGAGCTGGGGGCTGTGCTGGGCAGCCTGCACCCCGATATTGGCTGGACCGGGGGTATGTGCATCCCTGTGCACTAAAAGCAGGACATGCACATGTGAGAACCACATGAGGCTCCTCAAGTCTTATCCAGGAGGGATGCCCAGTGGGGCACAGAGGGAGGAGAGGCAGCCTTGGCCTGGGCCGGGGCAGGTGAGGGCCCCGCCCTTGCGGAGGCAGGGCAGGGCTCTCGACTTCGAATCATGACCATCTGGGGGATCGTGAAGGATCCAAAAATGTCAGATGTGCCCTGCGACCCCTGGGGTTTCATGTGGGGCAGGAGGAGCACGAGCCCCCCTGTCACCACGTTTTTTCGCCCTACGAAGGGACAGGTACTTGGCCGCTGCCTGGCACACACAGGACCAGGTGCTCAGCAGGTGCAGTGACAGCCCGAGGGCCGAGGAAACTCCCACCTGAGATGACAGCCTCGTTCTTATGTTCTGGCCCAATAACCCTGACAGCCTCGTACCCTGGTTCCTAGTGACCATGGGAGAGTCATCACCTGACTGTCTTGCTAAGCACCCCGAATTCAGGAGAGTCACAGCCACATTAATCCTTCCTAATCCTCTGCGGAGGAGCCAGGGACTTGCTGTTCTGGGATGTCCTATTTCAGTTAACGCCACCATTATCAGCCTCTCCACCCACCTGGGCTCACCATTTTATCCATCAGTGTTCAGGTCCTAAAGGGGCCACCCACCCACTTTACACCTGCACCAGCAGCTCTGTCGCCCACCCCCACCCTGAGGGTGGCATGCCGAGGTTCCTCCCACAGCTGCTCAAGGTGCCAGTCCCCACAAAGCCGCTGCACCCATCAGTCAACCTCCCAGGTCTCCCATCAACTAAGCACACAGATTGCTGGCCACCAATGTCGTACCTGGTTCTGAAGGACTCTCAACACTCGGAACCTGGTCTACAGATGGGGTGTTGGGGACGCTCTGCTGTGTCCCCGAGCATTTTTGCAGGTTGCAGAACTCCCACCGGACCTTCGGGTCGGTGGTGAAACACCAGGGGCCTTTGTCAGCATCTGGATTCCGGCAGTAGTTCATTGTCAGGCCACTGTGAATTCGACGTGAGAGGGCCTGAGTGGCTGGGGGACCTTCAGGGGACCCCCCACACCCTCTGAATGTGGATTTGACCAAGTCTTAGCAAGTGATTTGAAATATTTCCATTAAAGATGCCAAAGGTGCTCATTAGTATTATAATGTCCCAAGCACAGGTCCTCGACATCTGAACAATTTTTAAAAATCAAAATTAATATATCCTTCATATAAAGATGACATGATATATAAATGTATAATGAAAGTATCAGAATGGCTCCTTCCAATGTCAAGATCCAACGTGGATCTAGAAATGTATATTTTAGATTTTTCTCTATGTATATGCAAATATTTCTACATCCCTGTCCACGTTTCTATGTAAGGCTACACAGGACTGTAGAAGCTGGAGCAAAAATGTGCTTCCCCAAGGAAGAAGTGACATCCAAGATGAGGGCACGTTCAGGTCAGCCTTCCCAGTCTGTTGACTCATAATGTAGTTCAAGTGGGATGCATTTGTAATAAAAAGAAACATGAGTGTAATATAACTGTAACTGTCATATCTGGCAGATCATGTGGGTTCAGGGTGTGAGGGGCTTCCTTGGGAAACCAGCTCCCGGGCCACATGCCCTCCCTATGGGGTGCATCGTGGGGGAACAGGGAGGAACCCTGCACTGTTCTGGCCCCACCCACCTGTCTCACCTCCCTCGCTGCAGCCACTCAGGGACTGGGAACGGGGACGACACTGGAGAACAGTGGGACAGAGGGATGAAGAGAGAACTCTGGGTAGACTAAGGGATCGGAGGGAGCTGGGGGCTCATGGAAGAGTCAGAAGAATTGGGGTGAGGAACCTGGGACCCTGGGCTACTCGATCCACCAGAGCCTCCCCAGAAGGTTGCCCTAGCCTTGCAGAAGTCTCAGGCTTGGAGTCCCCATTCCAATTCAGACCCATGGCCTCTGGCCGTCTGAGAACATTTGAAGCGTGTTATATGTATGGGAATCTGACACTATGCCTACAGGTACCACAGACAAGCGACAGTCTCAGGCTTGGACCCATAATTTGAGAAGCCAGTCAGAGGCTGTCTGAGCAACTGGATATGTTCAAAAGCAGATCCATTTACAGCAAAAGGCTGGTCTGGTCTGGTCAGTGCTGGCCTTCTGTCCACCCACCTGCCCACTTCCTATCAGCATCTCTAGACTTCCTGACTCTCGCCTGACTTCCTGCTTTTCCTCATCATGTCCTGGCAACTCACATCCGCCCAGACCATAGTGCTCAGGCTGGGATGTGTCCGGACAGGGCAGGTTAGAGGCACCGAGACTCAGTGACAAGCACACACTTCCCTGCGGGGATCAGAGGTTGGAATGATAAAACTCCACAGTTGAAAGACGGCCTTGATCTTCACCATGTGTTGTGAAATGGTACTGTTGCTAATCTTTTGGTCATTTGCCTTCCTGAGCTTTTCACTCATGTGACCTTGACCCCTCATTGATCCCCGACCCTTTGGCTTCCCCAGAACTACCCAGGAAAGACAGCCTGCTTCCAGCTTCTCTTCTTTCAGAGTCTTGCTCAAAAACGAGGCACCTGAGACATTTCACCTCACTTTCCGAAGCCAAGTGCAGTTGGGTTCGAAGGAGCTAGCTTAAACGTTGGCCCTCCTGACAGATTTGGGCGACCTGCTGCTACCCCTCTGGTTAGAGATCAGAGACTCACGCATCTGGGTATCTTTCTGGGGTTTTCAGATGCCGGTGTGGCGTCATAGACGACCAAGGCTGACATTTCTTCCCCGTGACCGTGGTGGATGACGTGCCTCGATAGCTCTCCCCGTTGCCGTGGTAGCACTCCTGGACAACGGGAGTTTGTTCAGGTGGCACTGAAATCGGAGCAGAAGAAATCCGTGACTGACACCCAGAGCGGAGAACACGCGAAGCGCTACAGGACACGACACAGGGGTCTCTGTTGGTGCAGGAACACACTTCCGCCCCTGCTGGGCGGGACAGGCACGCAAAGAAAGCAATGGGCCCATAACAGCCTAGAACTTCAGTGACCTCACGTTTTTGGTAAATGGTTAATTTAAAACTCAGGCGGAAAAATAAGCAGGTCAGAGGACTTATCATTGGAGATTGCACCCAAACGCAAGCTTTTCCTTTTTGTGAATCTCCACTGTGTCCACACAGTTAGGAGGCAGACCAGGAGACACTTCCCCTGGTTCAGGCCTCAGGCGGCGATGGGCTGCTGGCAGGCAGCTGGGCATCCTGTCCCAGACTCTCTGCTTATGCAAAGCCAAAGCCTTGAGCTGCTGAGAAACCAGGCAGGAGATGCCCATTGCGTCTCAGGGGCGGGTTGAGGCAAGACTCTCACTCTCCTGGAGAAGCTCCGGGAAATCCTCTTGCACCCAGGTCCCCTCACCAACCAAAGCAGACGTCTGCTGCTTATAACAGATGTCTTCTACTTATAACAGAATAGAACATAAAGAGCTTATAACATAAGCTCTTTGAGAACAAAAGTACGATATTTGGGGAGGAGGGGACTAAGAGTATAATGTTAGAAGGTTCTCACATTATACATCTAGTAAAATACTATTGTTTGAAGGTGGGATGTGATAGCATACTGTAAACATCAGAAAAATACTAGGAACATTAAAAACTTGTTACACTAAGAGTGGTGATAAAAGACGATCAAAGAATACTTGATTAATGCAAAGACAGAAAAGACGACAGAGAGACCAAAATTCAAAGAGGACGAGGCGAGACAGCCAACTCGATGGTGGGTTTCAGTGCAGCCACAGTAACAGTTACACTGAACGGCCCAGACACTCGGAGGCTGAGAGACGCGAAGCATCACAGCGGCGCAGGCGGAGTTCAAACCGAGGAGCGGTGGTTCCAGAGATCAGGAGAGACACACGGCCAACGGGGCCGTTAAGTGAGGAAAACACGAACTCCTAAGTGCGTCTGCCTCAGAGAGAGCTGCAGAATACGCAAAGCAAACAGACAACCAAGGAGAAACTGGCACAGCCGAAGTCGGAGACACCGCCATCCCTCTCCCAACGCTTGACAGAACAGGAGATGGAACATTTGTGAGGATTCAGAAGGGCCAAACAACACCCAACGACAGCACCAACCAACTTGACCTTTGGCCTTTCCAGACCCTTCTACCTGACCACAGCAGAAGCCACGCTCTTATCAAGAGCACGGGCAACACTGACCATGACAACCATATCCTGGACAGTAAAACAGGCCTCCACAAATTTAAAGTAACTGAAACCACGGAGCACGTTCTCTGACCAGAGAGAAGCGAACATAAACCCGGCTTGTGTACGTGGGACCAGGGCTGGGGTAGAAGATGGCAGAGAGCCCCGGGTCCACTCCTACCTGGGCTGTCCAGCTGCTCAGTGGACCCCGGCGAGGAGTTGCAGGACGGGACGCGGCAGTATTCCCACCGCACCTCGCTGTTGGTTGTGTAGCACCACGGGGCCGTCTCTCCGTCGGGGTTGCGGCAGTAGTTCTCCTCCAGGTTTCTGAGGAGGAGGTGACCGTGAGTCTGGCTTTCCAAAAAAGGGGTTCACGAATAACGAGGTGCGGGTGCACTTGCCCTTAGGGCCATTGGACACGTGGCCAGCTAATTCTCCAGAGTGACGTAAACGGAGCAATAGGTGACCGTGTTTGCAGAGCAGGATTCTTTAGGATTCCGTAGAATTTGGGGACAGAAGCTTCTCTGGGGTAAATGATAAAAACATATTCCCGGACTGTGTCCGGTCAAGCAAAATAGCCCTGCTCCGCGGTGGGCCTGGAGCTCCGTGCTGGAGGGTGAAGGGTACTTTCTGCGATGTCCCTGCCTTAGAAGCTGCTGGCCCTGGCACTTCGGGGTCCTCAAACCCGACTGTGCATTTAGGTGAGCGCTCAGCCCGCGCAGCTGGGGGCCCACTGGCTGAGTGCATCTGGAGGACGCCCCCAGAACGTGCATTTCTGACAACTTCCTGGAGCTGTCCGTGCTGCCGGCCAAGAGAGCCGGACTCAGAGAACTGGCGTTATGGGGAAATGCGGGCGGAAGGTCACTTCCCTGGCGTAGGGCTTGACCAGCTTTCATTCCAGAATACTCTACCTGTAGTAACTCAAACGAAAGCCAAGTCCATGGGATTTTGCAGTTCGCTGGGCCACAAGGGGATGAGCCCAGAGGCGGACTTACTTGCAGGGGAAGTTTTCAGGGGTCCTGTTGTGCTTGTGTGGGGTCTGCTGGCTCCAGTGCTGACAAGTGTGCCCGGAGGTGGTGACAGCCACCGTCCCTCGATAGTTTTCACCTTTTCCCTCCAGACACTGACGTGTGGGGCCTGAGGATGGCGGGGGCGTTGCTGGAATCAGGGTGAGAAATCGCAGTGAGTGTGTTTGAAATGAAGAAGGCACAGGAAGACGGGATGTGGGTGGGTTCGGACAGCAGCAGCCCGGCTTCTTGGTAGAATCTGTGTCCACGAGATCAACTCAGGAGGGACCCCTCCAGGAGCCAGGCCCTCAGAGTACACCTTTCCATCTCATCTTTCCCAGCCAGTCCCCATATATGGTAAGGATCGGCATGGCGCCCTCGCCCCCAATCCTCACCTGTGCCAGTGACCCCACTTCCCCAGTGAGGAATACATTATTCACTGAGTAAACAGAACTAAATGACACCCGGTGATCTACAACACCAGCAGAGAAGCCATAAGAAAGAAGGCACAAGAGGAAAAAAAAAAAGAAGAAGGCAGTGAAAAACTGTCTCCAAGGAAGGGCACAGAAATCACCAAGTTCCTGAGAAAAAAAGAAAGATGACAACCAAAGGAACGGCTGCTCAGGAAGAAGGAGAGCACCTGAGGCACTTCAGTGCCCCAAGGAAGACGAGCAGACCCAAGAACGGAGAGCTGGCCCCCAGGGCCTGCTGGGTCCTTCCTGATCTTTGGTGGCTGTCATCTCAACTCTTCCTCCCTGGCTTCAGATTCTCAGGACGGAACTCTCAGAAGGACAATATGATAAAAAGCTTTCTCTCTGGCCTTCCCTGCTAAGTCAACCATGTGCCTTCTCACCCTGAACCCACTCTGAGATGGGCCTTCCAAAAACTGGACGCCAGACCCTCCTGCTCACAAAGCAGCACTCAGGGAGAGCCTGGTCGGTGACGAAACCCGTGCCCAGAAAGCATGGGTCGCTGTCCTTTCGAAGGGTGGCACAGCTACCCTTCAAGAGCCCACACCCAGCTGTCTTTGCCAGGAAAACAAAACAAAATCAAACCCCGGTCAATGGATGCTCTGCCAAGGACCTAGAGGAACCAAGAGATTGTTCTAAAAGAGCAATCATGTTCCACAGCATGTGTAGGGCACTTTTTAGGTACAACGTTCAGGCACAGGCACCTCTCTCTTTAATTCCAAGAGCAGAGCAGGTGAGGGGTCCTGAGGGTGGGGTGAGGCCGTACTCACTGCAGCGTGGAATGTCACAGAATTCCCAGCGCTTGTTGGGGTCCGTGGTGAAGCACCAGGGGCGGGGCTCCCCATCTGGGTTTCGGCAGTAATTCTTCTCCAAGTTCTTGTTTGGGAATCTGAATGCACAAGAAGAGTTTTAATAGCACTGAGTATTGACAGACAAGAATGCTTTTAAATGAGCAAATATGGAGCATCTACTGGGTGCTAGGCCCTGTCTGGCACCCACGGAGGTGACTGCATGAAGGCTGTCCTCAAAGGGGTGCCAATCTCATAAGGGAGATCAGCTCAGAAGTCTAAGGAGTGTGCTTTCCTGGCGGTTTCTGTAAAATATAACAGCTCTGGGTTAGTAACCTGATTGTTTAGACTGCGTGGAAAGCTGATGTACGCCAACTCCAGTTATTCAACTGCAAATACTTGCCGTTTTTAAAACACAAGGGACTCGCTTGTTGCCATCTTTGGAACTTAAAGAAACAATCCTTCCCATCTACCAGGTTCTGGTCCTGCTAGCTATTAAGCTTATGGAAACTGACAGGTTCCTGTGAGCACCTAGCCCAAGGGTGCAGGCCAGCGAGCGCCCCCCAGTGGGGATGCAGGGCTAAGACAGGGAGTTGCAGCCAGGTCACATGCCCTCTGGGTTGATTACACTCCCCTCCCTGAGGCTGTACAAGCTCAGGCAAGATGAGCTAAGCAACCAGCAATGGCTTAAGCAACTTCTAGTTCCTGGAGGTGTATTTTCCCAGTTCAGGTCCTTGAGGCCTTTCCTGTGATTCTTCTTTAATGGAAAAGGCAGAAGCTGTGTTTGGAGTTAACTCTTTGGAATGGGAGGTACAGGAAGTGCATGGAGCTGTTTCCCACAGTGAAATCTGGGGCTTAGTCTCCTTTCTGGTCAGTTTTTTTAGGTGCCAGTATGATCCTACAGCCTCAGAGAACAAAGGGAAAGATCAGAGAGCCACAGAAAGGGAGGGGTCTTCCAGAACAATCTATGTGAAGTAGGGCGAGCCTTTCTGGATCAGGGACTCTTATTCCTACAGTAAATCTGTGACCCCCTGGAGAATCTGGTGAAAGTCAGGAATCCTTGCCCCCCCCCAAAATTGCACTGATGTAAATATGCATAAAACACGTGTATATACGAAACCTCCAGAGCCCGTCCGTAGAGCGTAGGTTAGGAAGCCTTGAATCTCATCGGTATGAACCAAGGAAGAAGAATCGAGAGAAGAGGAAAGCACACGTGTGGGATAGACCTGTACTCCTACCCTTCCCTGCACACACGACTCAGCCAGGGCGCCGGTCACAACAGACTCCGGCTCCGAGGGCCCGAGACGCCACACGCCTCGCTCACCACCCTCGGAGCCCGGCTCTCTTCCTGGACTGCGGTTTGGGAAACAGGAGTGCGTGCTTTTTCTCTTGTGGCCACGTGGGGAGAGGCGAAGTCTGAGATTCCAGAACCCCAGATGCGTTCCCTTCTTGAGGAGTGCAAACATATCGCAATCACGTGAAACGCCCTGCAGCCATGAACACCGGTTCCCAGGGAGACTTACTTGGAAGGCAAGTAGCCGTGAGCGTGGGGGCTCTGGGAGCCCCAGGCCTGGCACTCGAGTCCAGACGTGGTCTTGGAAATTTTGCCCTCGTAGTTCTCTCCACTGCAATGCATGCACTCGACTGGGTAGGGGACGAGAAGGGAGGAAGGCAAGAAACTGAGGTGTGTGACGCAGAGGGAAGGCCACAGTCTCACTAGCCACGTCTCAAGTGGCACTGGCCCCTTGTTCCCATGCGCTTCCCGACAATCACTTGGCAATGAAATAGGCGATACTCAGTTTGCTAACACAACCTAAAATGTCACTCTTTCCTTCAAATGGTAAAATTAGCATAGTTTGGTCGAGACCTCCTCAGCTTTAATAGTCACAACCAAATCCAGAAATTCCACAAGGCCACTTCCTCAAACTGGGATGCCCTGGACCTTGTGGGTGGGAGCGGTTGGGGCAGGGTGCAGGTATTCTCAGAAGCCCGTAAGGTTTCTACTAGGACTTTTAAATAATATTTGGTGTCTTGGTTCCAATAAGGATCTCTTAAAATGCCTATGACAGCATCTGATGACACGGATGGGGCCCCCTCCCAGGACATGAGTGTGGGGCTTCGGCCTGTTCTCCTGACCTCGCTGGGGGGTGGGTTCACCTCAGCTGGCGGCAGTTCACTTTTTGTACGATTGAGAAGTGTGGCTGGCCATTCTTTGCCTTCTTACATTATTTAAAAATAAAAGCTTTGATTTGGAGTGATTAAGATAACCTGGTGATATAAGACTTCAAGTTGTATGGAGTCCTGACGAAAAAAAGGGTCAGACTCGGAAATGACAGTGATGCATTCAATTATGTGTCAATGATGTGGCAATTAAGGGACAAACGACCTCAGAGCGCAGTATAAAAATAGAGGCCCTAGAGTTGAACCAGATAAGGTGATGGGGACCTGAGTGTCACAGGTGAAGACTCTGCCACATGGCTGCACAAATCTGCTGTCCTCCACCCCCCCCCCTTGCACCAATGAATGGAGCAGGAAGTGTGAGAACACTTTTTTTCAATAGGATCTTCCCCCTTTTCAGCACTGACTTGTGAGGTGCGCCACTACCTTGGTTGACTTACTAAAATAATGAACTGCTGGTTTCCAACTGGCTCCTTACTTGGGCTTCGGTGCAATGAGGAAGTATCCCTCACTCAATGAATAGTGTTCAGTTGAATTGTATTGCTTTTGTGATTTTTTATCTCAACTATTTAACTGCAAATCCGTTTTTGTCTTTATGCTCTATCGAGCTTTAAGCCTAGAATGTTTGTATCTGGAGTTCACATGGGGTTTTGCATTGGTACATGTTGAAGGAACATTTTAATAAAAATTAGTCAGGTCGATACTGGGGGCCTGAGCAAAGTCTGGGCCTCCCCACAAGATTCGCGTGTGGCTCAGCTCTGTGCGCCACGGCACTAAATGTTCATTCACAGTGTCCCTGCGGGGAACGGCCCTGCAGCAAATGACTGCACGGATGGAGGGCAGACGCAGAAGCAGGATCTAGAGCCGCGCCTGACCTTCACACTCAGCAATGTTGCAGTAGTCGAATCTGGTCGCCGGGTCGGTGGTGTAACACCAGGGCCCCTTCTCGTCGTTGTCTGGGTTCCGGCAGTAGTTTTCGTCCAGCCCCGCTGAAGGGTGGCTAGTGGGTGAGAAACTGCGGGATGGAAAGGAACCATTTGGATCACACTGTAAACATCACATGTTGTCAGAAGCACAGAATGATGTGCCATCTGTTTCCTAATCGAGGTTCGAGGTTCTGCCCTCGAATGCATTCTAGCTGTGGGCTGAAGGGTTTGCATTGTCCAGTTTTCAATTTCTCTGTTCAGTACAGTGGCCAACATCACCATTATCACTGCATTTATGGACACATCTTAGAAGCAGAGCCAAAGTTCTGTGCACAGGCAGTAGAAACAAAAGCCTCACAAGCCTCGCAAGTTCCTGCTCTGTTCCAAACACCTGCTCCTGTCAGTTGCTTCTGTAAAAATAATCTCAGTGAGCACCATTTTGCCTGCGTGAATCGTGCTGCAGGTTACCCTGAAATCTTTCTACACGTTCTCTCGTTTAGTGCCAATAGAAAGGTCCCACCAGGAACATATGATTATTCTTATTTCACACAGGAGAAAACTGGGACGCGGCGCTGTAAAACCAACCCTTGCCTGAGTTTGATCGATTAATAAGTAGCCTCTCAAGAATTCAAGTGAGATCAGTCTGATTCCAAACCCCACGTTCTCTCTGAAATGCAGCTGTGGCACCGGGAGGGGCAGGGGAGGGAAGCTCACGTTTGGATCTAGAGTTGAGTTGCTATGTAGACATAACAAGTTAAATCCAAAACCAAAGACCCGGAGTCTAAAAGGGCAGGTTTTGTTTTGGATTCCTCACCCCACAGGCCAGAGGTGACCTAGATGACATCTAGGAGCCCTGGCAGGCTGTGGTTTGGCCATTTGGTTTACTCCTTGCACCTCAATGAGCCCTAACACCCTGAGAATGTTACCACTGCCCATTTCAGGGGGGTGCAATAAAGGTGAGTTTTTTGGTTGGGGGCACAGGGTAACAGACACCAAATCCTGCTGGACAAGCATCGTCACCACAAACTTAATGGTACCCGATGTCCTACTGGGAAACAGACACTGAGAAGGATACTAAATCAATAAGGAAACTAGGAGATCGAGCATGTTTCTTTTATACTTTACCCACTCTTTCCCTCTGCAATGCTGTTGTGAGCACGTGGCAAGAGCTCTAATTTGGTGTACGTTTGATTTCAGTCAACTGAGCCCCTGCAGTGGTCATCTCCGCTTTCCTCCCAGGCTCAGCCTAGAATTCAGGGTTTCGTTCTTCTTTTTTTTTAAACTAGGAATCCTTCTGCGATCTAGGTGTCCCCGAGACGCACACACACAAAAGCGAATGGAGAGCAACCACTTTCTGCATTTAGGCTCTAAATAATCGATCCATTCTGCATCGACATCCCTAAGTTCTCTCCCCACACCTGCCTGGCTGCCTGTTCTGGCTGCAGTCGGAGGGAATGGCACCTTCTAAGTGCACGAGGTGAGCCCAGAGATGAAAGAGAAAGCCTTACTTAGGTTTGTGTGGGGAGCTGTCGCTCCATCTCTGGCAGGCCACCCCGTTTTTGGTCTTGGACACCGTGCCCCGGTAGTTCTTCCCGTTTCCGGTCTTGCACTCTGAAAGGAACACTGAACAGAAGTCCACGCAGCGGTCAGTTCCTTGCACAGCCAGAGAGTCAGGGGAAGCCCCGCACTGCTCGCCGCGTTGAGAGAAAGGACGGGTACGGTGGATGACACGGAGGTCCTGCCAGGCAAGACCACGCTTTGTGTCTGTGGAGGAGCGGCAGCTCTCGAAGCCACTTGGTGCCCGGAGGCATGTATTCCAGGCCACAGCCCCTCCGCGCACCGGGCACAACGTTAGGTGCTGGAGGCACATGGCGCGTGTGAAACAGGGGAAGGTCCTCCCGCTGTGGAACTCACATCCTGGTGGCCCCAGGGGGCCACCTGCAGAGAGTAAGCCAGGACGCAGCCTCATGGCGATGTGTGACTGAATCGGCAGCTTGTTTTGAGAGTGAAGGGAATGGAAGTAAGGGTTGTCAGACAGGGCGGGCTTTTCCAGCGCCTCAGCTCTTTGAAGCCCCCAGCATTTCGAATATGAAAAGCCTCACACAGGGTGATAAAGTTGTGGTCTACTCTCAATGTTCACAGCAGATGCTCTGGACCAGCCACCACCGAACCAACCACAGGGCAGGGGCTTTAAAGCACAGGGTCAGGTGGCCGCCTGTGTCTCAGGTGTTTCAGGGAGGGCGCCTGTGACTAGCAGGCCACTTTCTAGTGTGTCTACCCACTTCCGGTGCCACCAGCGGGGTCACATGCTTACCAAGAGTCAGCTGCTTTTATCGTCAAGGCTTTTTCTACAGCTGTATTTGATTAAAGACGAGCTAAACCAATGCGGCACGACCCACAGTTACTGCAGTATTGTAAACTGAGAGACAAATGAGAAAAAAGGCTCGTTTTTAACTAAGTTGAATGCTTTTGAGGACTTGAAAGAGTTGGGTGGTTTTAAAAATTGTTGTCAAATCCACTGCAGGGAACCCACTCAGAGTCGACCCTATGAGTTTGGGGGAGATGATAAAAATGTAAAGGTGTTTCACAGTCAGACTGATGCATGGATGTCTTAGACCTTACTGCACTTCAAAGAGAAGGCACCGGATGTCGTAGACAAGGCTGTTGGGGAGCAGTTCATGCAGGAACTGGGCCCCGTAACTCCTGTCGGTGGCCCACATTCAGAGACAAAAAGCCCCCCCTCAAAATGTGCCAATGCGAACTTGTGTTTTCAGTGAAAATAGAAACTATTCAAGGTATACGTGTATCATCTTTCACAATTCCCCACTTTGGCCAAGATTTTAATCAATTGACCAACTATCTGGGGAGAGGATTTCTAACACACCTATAGCAAACTAGTGCTTTTAACCCACCTGCCTGCACGAAGGTGCAGCTGCCCCTTCATTGAGGTTTACCCTCATGATACAGGCCCACAGCACTTACACAAGGTGTAAACTCAAGGCACGTTTGAGGCCCAGCAGTCAGGGGAGACTTTGAAAAGGAGGTGAGGCTTGAGTGGAGACCTGGGAGGTGAGAAGGGACTGTCCCCAGAACGAGCAGAAGAGGATCCCAGGTGACAGGTGGGAGCGGGTCAGGCTAAGTGAGCCCAGCACGCGGGTGGCCTTCAATGATGGTGGGGGGTGGGGGTGCCTGTGGCCCTTGGCGAGTGTCTGGATTTTATTCCGAGGCACTGAGTTTTTGAAGCAGGGGTGTTGCAGACCTGCCACTGCAGGGACCTGGCGAGGGATGGTGGCAGCTTAGACCAGGTGGAGGCAGTGGCCAAGGCAGCAAGTGGCAGGTGTCAGTGGGACACCAACTATTCCCAGAACATCGCTGGTGGGTAACGCAGCAGTGGGTCCCACACTCCACAGCAAAGAAACAAGCACCCGAAAACGCCTGACTTTTGACTTTGTACCTCTCCTGTGTTTGCACGGACCTGCCAGTGTTTACATAACCTTTCGCTCCTCTCTGGCACCTGGAAAACGGGCAGCTTCGACTGTGCAAGCTGAGGCCAGTGGCACCGCCGTGTCCCTTCTGCTTAACAGTTTACGCGTGGCATTTGGCGTTAGTGCTGAGATTCCCACAGACCCCTCGCCCCGCTTTTGTAAATCTGGTGGATAGTAGGTCGTCCGATGTATCACCTGCTCTGCTCGCTGTTTGTAAGAACTAATAGCTTCAGATAAGTTTGAGATCTAATCAGCACCCTCATCCCAAGAGTTCAAGATACACAGTGGGGAGGAGGGAGGGGAGAAGACCCACAGCTCTCATTAGACCTGAGCAGGTGGACAGGTGCACAGCGATGATCCCTGACCTGAAGGACACTTCAAAAACCCCAGTTCTGCAGCGGGACTGCAGAGAGGTCATTGTCAAAAATGCATAGAAGAGGATGTTCCTTGTTGTCTTTCACACCAGTGGTAACCCGACATTTGCAAAGCCAGCTTGTTACAACGTAAGTGGTCATAACACCTCGCCAGCAGCAGAGTTTAGGAGGCAGTTTTAAAAGCATCGTACTTTCACTTAAATCTCCATATACACTTCGTGAACTTTTTCATGTCCAAAAAGACATGAATTTCCATAGAAAGGTAGGCCGTCTGTCGTCCTAACCAGTGGCACAGCTGATCTAGGATTCTGAAGAAAACTATGGAAAAGAAACCGTGACTCTGGCCCATTTTCAAAAGACAGTATTTCAGAGTCTGAGGGACACACAGACTGTGACCCCCCTCCAAGGGGAAAGTTTAAAAACTAGAACTTAAAATGTCGTCACTATGCAAATGCTGCTGAGGAGTAAAAACATCTCGGTGTTTCTTTGTTTCTCCAGGTTCAGTCCCAAAGCTAGGGGTCAAGGACCACGGTCCCTGCAGAACAAAGTCAAGATCATAAGGAACATCTAGACCCCCCCACTCCTCCTTCAAACATAAAATAACACTTTGAATATTTTCAGAGTCATAGGGGTAGAAGTGACTTTGTAAATATGACCCCATGGTTTTTAAATTAAGAAAAAGAAAATACAAAAGGTGCAGGCATGTACTCACTCAAGCGCCACGGTGGGTTCATGGCCATACCTGGCCCTGACCCCCAATTCCCCGTTGCTGCCCCCCCGCTCAGCATCTCCACCCTGTGGCCTCTTAAACTATAGACACAAAGGAGGGGGTAGGGGGAGGGCAGGGAAGGGAAGGAAACGAACAGGAGGACTAAAAAGAAAATATTGTACTCACTTCTCTTCTCAAATAAAACAACGTCTCTCATCCTGGAGACTTGGGCGGTTTTTCTGGTTTGGTCCATGAGGTCACATTGTTGCTCTTTACTGTGATACTGGAACGCCCTGCGGAGAGAGTCAGGAAGCTCAACCAATGTCTTCCTTCAATCAGAAAGCAAAATTTTATTGAGAAACAGGAGACTCTAAAGATAATTGTGTCTCTTGATGGACCAAGGAGCTCATGATTGGCGCTTTCAATCCAGTGGGGGCGATTGTCAAGGAGACACTGTGAAAACAGCCCAGCAACACAGTGGCTACTCTCGGTTTCTTTCTAACTTGACCTTCCCCCTTCCGGTCCTCCGACTTTTCTCTTTCTGTTTCGGCTGCTCTCCTTTTTCTTCATTCATGTTCTTAAGTTCCAGAATATTTCCTTTTGTATTGGAAAGATTGCTTTGAACTTACCGGTATTCCCCAAATGGACTATATGAGCCCTGTCATTTCCCCTTGGCCTACCTGCCTCCATTCTACCCCCTCCCACTCACCCGTCCTTGCCCATCCACGTGGTCTTGCTGAAGATGTCACAGAAAGCCACCCACAGTTGCCTCTCCAGTCCCATCTCCTGTCCTACGTGACCCTGTTGTTCCAGCCACCTTGGTCCCTTCCTGGTCCCTCAGCCGAGGGCAGGGCCTGGAATGCCTCCAGTTATATCAGTATTTGCAAGCTCTCACTCACCCTTCAATGCCCAGCTGGGGTCCCACCTCCTCCCCGAGGTGCCCTGGACTGCATCAGCACTTAGGAATTGTTCTTCCCTCTGAATTGTATGGAGCACGTATTGACTATGTCACTCATCGATACCTCCCATTGGCTGGGTTCTTTTAGACATACATTTTATCCAGTTTCATGACTATATCATGACTACAGCGGGCAAGGTCGGGACCGTGTGTCTGCACAAAGAGCTCCCCCATTGCAGGGCTACCCACCAAATACCCCGGGCCACTGTCTCTGGGCTTCGTTGCTCCTCAGGGTCTGGAGCACTTCCCCACGTGTGACCCCCTGTTAATGCTTAGTGGTGATGATGTGCAAGCCTAGAGCTCGGAATGACGGTGGCTTGTGTCTCATACAAAAATAAATAAGTTTCTTCGGGGGCATTTTCCTAAAGGGGGTACTCACAAATTTAACAAGACATGAAATGGGCTCACATACAGATTCCAAACCCTAACCCCAGGAAATTCCTCTTTCCTCTTAAATCCTGCTCTGGTCAAGTCCATGAGCGACTTCCTTGGTGTCGAAAGAATAGTGTCTCAAACAACGAGACAACAGTGTCATAGGTTCAATGACGGTAAAAATACCTGCAAATGAATTCTGTTTCTTCCTCACACTTTGCTGCGCACTCAGCTATGCTGCTGGCTCCCAGGTTCTTCTTGTTGCCAGTGGACAGTGCTGCCCCCTGCGTGTTCACATAGCTGTCCAGGGAGTCTCCGTGACCTGCAAGCAGAAGGAAAAAGTGGGATGGTGGGTAGAATTCATCAAAACCATTGTTTGATGGTGGTCACTTTGTCACCTATTCATTCACGGTTCCCTGGCCAAATAAAACATGCTGCTCTCCCGGAAGTGGAATGGATGGCTAGGAGTAAAAATGTGCCATTTACAGACTGCAATATGCTCAAAGATCAACTGCACGGACAGATTCGTGGAGTAGAACAATTTAACGTCTATGTTGCTGCCCAACTGAGTGGGAAGCCGTACATAAGAATAAATGTGGTCTGTTTGCTGTTGATTGCAGAGCCGAGATAGAACCCTCAGAGGCCGCCAGGAGCACCCAGGGTGCCGGTACCGATGACTTGTCCGTCCCTGGCCCCTGGGTAACGGAAGAACCTGCAGCCATCACTCCATCTCCAGTGGCATAGACGGTGGCTGTCATCTGCCCCTCAGATTGATGCGATAAGCCTTCTCTGAACGGGTCCACCTCGAGACACAGTGTTGTTTGGTGAGGTGACAATGTGGACAGTAAAGGAGGACTGGACTAGTCTGCACTGTAAACGAGGCCATTTTTATCCTGGGCTGAGTTCGGGGACACATCACTGTTCATTAAAGAGAGATAAGTTCTTCTGTGATGCCGACAGGTATTTGCATTTTGGAAGAAATGGTAAAAAATCAGACAAATGCTGGCCCTGAGTTTTCTGTGAAATAAAACCATAGGCAAAGAATCTTCCTGAAAGTCTCTCTGCCCCCTGTTCCCGAGGCGGAGGGGGCTGAGCTATGCTCCCAGGCCTGCGGGCGCCTGGCCAGGCTTAGCAACTCTATCCCCAGCCTGGGGGTGTTGGCCTCTGGCCTTTGAATGGGGAACACACTAGTGCTTTTCGCAGGGTAAGAGGCCAAAAGAGGTTAATAAAATAAAGATAGCAAAGTTTCCTAAAGTTTGCCTAAAGGGGATTGGGCAACATGGGGACTTTGACCACTTTGAGGGTTGGGGGGTGGGGACCAGAGCCAGATGGAGGGGATGGAAGAGCAACCCGGAGTGGCAGTGGGATGGGCAGAGGACAAGTCTTTTCCAGAGACTGGCTGCGAAGGAGCGTTTGAAATGCAGGGCGTGTGCAGTCACGAAAACTTCTCCGAGAGGAGACATTCTAAAGCAGGTTGGTGCTGGTGAAAATGCTCCATAGGAACGATGATGAGGACTGAGATTCTCTTTCCCAGAAAGGCCATCCCTGACCACCTGAAAATGCCACACTGCCCAGGGCCATCTGCCCTGATGGGCGGAGACAGACCCAGCCCCTTCCTGCCTCTTTCTCCTTCCTCAGGGTAAGGCACTCCAAGCTGCAAGGTGGACACTGCACACAAAGGTGGCTGGTGCTGTTTACATGCAATACACGGAAAGCTCTTGGTAACGGTGTGAGAAGATTATGGAGAAATGGATCTTTTAGACCAGTGTCCATGCCACCATCTGGCATTTTCTCTCACTTGGAGCTCTCGTTTCCAAGAAGAAATGTGTTTTGGTAAACGCTACAAATTAGGATGTAATTCAGAGAACGAGCAAGTTAACTCTATAAAGCAAATCCTGTAAAGAGTGCAATTGAACTTTTGGAAGATCTGTTAGAAAGTGGAGCCCTGGCTGGTGTAGCTCAGTGGACTGAGCGCGAGCCTGTGAACCAAAGCATCGCGGTTCGATTCCCAGTCACATGCCTGGGTTGCAGGCCAGTTCCCAGCAGGGGACACACGTGAGGCAACCATACATTGATATTTCTCTCCCTCTCTCCTTCCCTTCCCCTCTAAGATAAATAAATAAAATCTTTAAAAAATTTAAAAAAGAAAGTGGAGCAGGCCAGGGTATAAATCATGTCCAAATGAGAAAAGTTCTGTTTATATAGTGCTTTAATTTAGTTACTTTTGATTGTATTATATTATCATGTTTCAGAGCACGTAGCTGCCGAGACCCACCTTAGGATCAAATAAATGTCCCAGAGATGTCCCCAGAGAGATTTGTTTTCTATTTGGTTTGAGAAATTTTCCCCAAATACTGTCTTTTATTCAATTCTAGGGCTCAGATGGCAATGGAATATAATGTTGTTTATTTGTTGACCAAGACATAGTAAACCAATCATTTTAGTAAGAAAAATGTTTTTATATTCTAGGACAGCGATTTTCAACCTTTTTCATCTCATGGCTTACATAAACCAATTACTAAAATTATGCAGCACATTGAAAAATATCACATTTTTTGCAACTCTGACCAAAAAAATAGGTATAATTTTGATTTATTCATACCGAATGGCTATTGTTGTGTTGGCTGTTATCACTTTTTATTTGACAATCTAAGGGAACAGAGGTCCATGCTCCCTGACTAAATAGTCAAGCATGGCACGTTTTAAAAGTTCTTGCAGCAAACCGGTTGAAAACTGTTGTTCTAGGCTAACGTGGGTGTATGTTGTTACCAAAAGAAGTGCGTTTTACTGATAACGCAGGTTTGCTTGTTGTTCAGTCTCAGTACGGCACATGTGCGCACCCACACTTGTGTGTTTGACAGACGGGAGCAGTGATTTGTGAAATGCAAGCCCCTTACCCACTGCTCACTGAGAATGGCTGTGATGAGTATTTTGGGCTAGGAGAGTGCTTTTCCTCTGCCCGGCGGTTTTGTGCACTAAAAAGATGACCCATTTCTCAGAAAGAGAGAGGAAATGCCTTCCTTTCAAAAAGAGCCGTGAAAGCCTTTCCCCCACATCAGTGAGGTCAGAGGTTAATCCCGTTACAGAGAAGTTTGTTCTAAGATTTGGGTGTGACCTGTGGAGCAGTTCCCGGTGCCCCAGGCCCTGCCCTCCCTGGGCTGGAAGGGGAGGTGAAGGCTTGCACACCTGCACACAACCCTTTTCCAAGAAAATCTCTTGGCGCAATCTTCTGCCATGTTCTTTGACATTCCTTTTCACGACTCTACTAAATTGAAACGTATTCGACTCTAATGCACAACTTGTGATTCATAATCTAATTTCAAGTTCCTATGCACTGTGTATATGAAGAGCTACTTGCATAATGTATCATTTCATTTATATGAAATGTCCAAAATAGGCAAATCAGAGACAGAAGGTGGATGAGTGATTGCCAGGGGAGATGGGCCTGGAAGGGGGGAGGGGCGACGGGAAAGGAAGGGGGTGGGGTGATGACCACGGGTGCCGAGCGTCTGGGGGCATGGTGAATGCACGCTGATACTGCGTCGATGGGCGCATCACTCCAAAGGCAGCGGGAGCCATCGTGCTGAATGCTTTAAATGGGTGGATCGTGTAGAGTGTGGGTTAGATATAAAGCTGTCAAGGGAAAAAGAACTAGAAGGACATACTTAGAGTATTTTAAAGAATGTTTAAACAAAGTTGAAAAAGTGAGAAGGGCACCAAGATTCCTTCTTGGAAAGCCCTGGTTTAAGTCCTAGTTTCTCCACGTCCTGGATTTGGGAGTTTGGTCCATAGGCAAATAATAGGATTCTCCTCAGTGTGGATGAAGTCACCTATAACGTGGGGATACACCTATAACCCTACCTGTGGCACCAGCTAAATGAACTAGGATTAGTGAAGCACAGAGACATGTGTGTGTGAGTGTGAAAATGTGCCCGGCTCACCACAAGCACGGAGTATGTGTTGAATTCCTATGTGCAGACCTCATTTGACTCATCAAAGCCTGTGGTTCTTCCAGGCATAGAAGCAAACATTTGTGTATGGAAAAGCCATACTGAATTCACAGCAAACAGGAAACTAGTAAATACAACCACGGACTGGTCAAAGAATGGAGTCAAGGAGATATTCCACTACGTACATTTTTAAATGAGGAGAATATGTCATCTTGACAAACAGGACCAAGTGAATCACACTGAGAAACAAGCAAAGAGCCAGTAGCCATAGGGGCTATTCTCTGTCAACCCAAATGACTATGATTTAAACTCAATCTTTTACATTCTAAAAAACCACTCATTTTTTCCCTCTACTCCCTCATTTGCAGGATTTACATGGGAATGAGACTTATTTCGTGATATAATCCTCAATCTTAGGTTTAGATTTTGAACTGGGAATCTCAGGAATCAGAAGCTAAGTTAGACTAGTTGCTCATGAAACCAAACTGTGTCTGTTCTTAAGACATAGCTGGGACACCATCAGTGGCTACAGTGAAAACGTGTCGGAGTCTTACCTGAATTCAGAAACAATAGAAGGAGAAGCACCACTTCTTCGTGCCCCATTTCGGCACGGGCCACCCAAGTCCGGACAGGAGAGCGTCCCAGCCCCGAGGTGCGACGGACTCACAGGACAGGAAGCGTGTCCACAAACAGGGCAGTTGTGGGGAGTTAATCATTCTCTCGGAGGCCCGATGCCCCTGTGCTCTGAAGGGTTCAAACATTACCTTGACGGAGGGTCTTACAACATGTTTGCATCTGCAACAGATGCTGGGAAATGGTGCAAGCAGCCCCGCCCCTGCGGCAGTGGCACTGCCTCTGTTCCCCGTTCCTCTGCTCGCCCCAGTCCCTCGTCAGTCCCACTTGGTCTTGTGCTCCCCTCTTCTTCCCTTCTCTTCCTTTTGGGTAAATAATAATACTAATAGCAATAACAATGTCACAGTAATAGCTAACATTTGCTGAGAACTTTCTCTATGCTAGGCACTCTGCTAAGGGATGCATGTGCCTAGTTACACTCAGCCTTCAGATGAGCACTGTTATTATCATCCCCATTTTGGGATCAGGCTAATGAAGTTGAACTTCTCCAAGGCAACCCAGCCAACAAGGAGGGGAGCTAACGCACAAGCTGTTTAGGACTTAGGTGACACGTGAGAGCTCGGGCTTTGTAGTTAGCATCCCAACATCCTCCCCGTGTGGAAATTATACGTAAGTGAAGACATTTTATTATTATTGAAATTCGTTATGCCCAGTAGATTCACACGTTCTCCATGATTATCGGTAATCTTAGAAAAATATTGATCTTTTCTGCACATGATTCAAAATTCATTAGAGTCTTAGCCTCATGAAATAAAGCAAGAATGGCAAAATTATGTTTAAAGAGTCTGTCTCAGTTTGAATTGTGAGTTCTGTACTTTTCCCTGGTTTAAAGCTAGAATGAGTAAGGAAGTGAATGCTTTAAAACTCTCATTTTAGTGTCCAAAAATAGTTAGGAACAGCTAAATTGACTCTATTTTAAATGTGACACCAGAACAAGAAGCCCCTTTCTCCAGACTATGAAATTCTTGTCTGTAAAGGAGCTGGTGAGCTGTGGAGGCAGAACCTTTTTACAGTTCCTGGGACTGCAGTGCCCTGGGATTGATTGAGGTGCCTAGCACTGCAGTGCCCTGGGATTGATTGAGGTGCCTGGGACTGCAGTGCCCTGGGGAAGTCTCAGGACCAAAACATGCTGGAGAGCGAGGGGGCAACACTGTTGTGAGGGGCAGGGATGACCTAGTGGCGTTACCCGATTTTCTGCTTTATCTCAGCCTCTCTTCTCTCCTCCAGCTCACCTGTCCCCTCTCAGGGCTGGTGGCCCTGTTTACTAATGGGGACACAAGGAGGGAGCGAGATGAGAAATGAGCAATGGACAGGACTTTTTCTTAAAATATCAGAAGTGTCTTTCGGGGGATTACACTGGTGTGTTTGAGAAGGTGCTTTGGGGACCACACGGGCCCTGCAGGTGTATGATGACCCCACTCTGCGTGGTTTCTAGTTGAAATGTGGGCGACCGCGTGGAGAAAACTCCACAGGACCCATGGTGTCAGAATTGTATCTCCATATGCACTTCCCTCCCGTTTTCCTTTTTCTTCTAAATTGGGTGGTGGCGGTAGGCCTCTTGTCCCCTTTCCTCCTGGAAGCTTCTAGAATCCATTAGACTGTACAGATGTTGTCTCTGTAGATGATTGGCCCTCCCATGGCGACTACACCGTCTTCGTGACCTTCATTACAGAGCGGCGTCCCGAGAGCGCAGGGAAGCACGAAGCAGAGCCGGCCACTGTGCTGCCTGGCTCTGTGGGGCGTGGAGGGGGAGCGGAGAGGGATGGATCGCTGGGCTCAGGCAGAGACCGGGGTGCGGGGAGACTTCCTCATGCACAGCGCCCCCTGCCTTCGCCCCCAGGCACAGGCGGGCACAGAGCAATGGACGGCTCCGCACTGGGCGCAGGAATCCCACATGGTCCTGGCACTGTCCAGTAATCCCGCACTGTCCACACATTGGACAGTGGTTTTGCCCAAGGCTGTGAAGATGATCAATTCAAACTGCATTATTTTCCACTTGAAAGAATGGCAGACACAGAGAAAAAAGAAAAAGAGAGATCATCTCTGTATACTATTAGTGGTGTGAATAAATTCTGAGATGTGCATTCCTATTGAGTCCAATGCGTTAAGTACTTACTGACCACCTACTGGGGAGCGGTATTGTGTTACATTCTTTTAGGATCATGTAAAAGGTACACATCACAGTTTCTGCCCTCCCCCAGCCTGCAGGAAACTTTGCACCTAATGTTGGTGGAGTCTGTGGCAGCACTTGTGGCCCGGGACAAGGACATTAAAGTGAAAGGAAGGCAACCTCATTTCCTCCACTCTGCCCAGCATGGGGCCTGCAACCAAGATGTGCTCAGATTCCCCTAAGAAAGAGGAAAGAACTAGCCAGCCCCTCCCTCCGGGCACTCAAATGTGAAGTTCCTGACAAGTACCTCCCAAGGAAAGTCACAAAGACAAGGAAAGGTCGACGTCTCCAGGGGAGCGAGGTACAGCGCCCTCGGGCTCCTGTCCCCTTGTCTGCAGTACAAGCTGCCGCTAGGTCAGAGCTTCCCAGGTGACATGCCTTGGATCTTGTGTCCCTGGTCTGACACTTGTACCTGCCACCATCCCTCCTCCCCACAGTCTTTGCCCCTTCCTCCAGCTCCAGCCTCTGCTGCCTGGAAACTGTTGTTCTAAGTGGCTCATTCTTTACCATGAACATTTTTGAATCTCTGCAACCAGGCCATGCCATTTCAAAACAAAAGCAGCCCATATATATATATCAAAGGTCTGCATTGTTGCCAGGGTTCTTAGCAAGTTTCTCTTTGCCCGTGATGCCAGTTGGCAGGTTGCTTTCCCTGTGTTTGTTCATTAGAGCGCATCACCCAAAAAATGCATTCTCTCAATACACAGAAGGTGGCTGTCATTTCTTCAGGTGACCTTCTCCTGTGTGCCAGCCTTTGCTCTGCAGTCTCTGGGACCATGGAATGAAGCACTTGTCAGCCCACGGCTCCTGTGAAGTGACAGCGGGGCCACTCTGCTGGCGTGCGGGTTAACCTGTCACACACCGGAGCACTTCCCAGGACCCGATGCTCCAGTTCAGCCTTCGGCAAGGCGGTGTTTTCTTAACTGAGTTTTTTTGCTTGTGGAATGGAGACGTTCATTCATTTTTGAAAAGCCGTCAGTCTCCATTGGACAGCTCCTCATCAGACCTGTCACCAGCTGAAGAAAAATGTTACTGGAGAAGCTAAATTGCTGAGTCTGCCTCGGGACTCCCCACAGACCAGGGCAAGCCCCCTTTTGCTCTGAGGTCCGATCCACTGTGCGTACATCAAAGAGAGAAACCAGGTTGTCCTTCCCACGTCTAACATTTGTTATTCTCTAAGCTAATTAAGACAAAAATCTTTCCCCACAGTGCTTATAGAAAGCATTAAAATCTTTCAAGAAAAAATATGAGTGCACGTGAAAACTGGTGACATCTCAGCAAGGTGCGTGCACTAGTTCCTCACACCATCCCAGGGGCAAGTCTCTGGTGTTGACCATGAACCTCAGTTAACTAAAGCTGCTCCCTGAGGCCTGGTGGCTGCCTCGTGGGTGCACTCACCAGTGATGTGGACTTCTCCGAGCTATTTTTATGACTGCTTGCTTATTTATAATTATTTCAAAATAAAAAGTAAATATTTTTCCATATCCATATCTGTTTATATTTGTATAGATGCATGTGTCTGTCTATATGTGTCTATATTTAAATATATGTACATATTTGTATATATATATATATTTGGCAATGTGTACATGGTGCAACCAAAAGTAGGTTTACAGTTGCGAGTATGCAAAACAGTTTATTCGTGTGTTATTTATTAATTTAATTATGGTATTATTTTCCATATAAACAACTGTCAATGTGCCTTTTCCCCACCATGTATATATTCGGCTACATGTGTATATATTTGGGTATGTGTGTATATATTGGAATATATTGTATATATTTGGATACATGGGTATACATTTGGATATATATTTATGTAGTGGATATGTGTGTATATATTTGGAAATATATTTGGATATGTGTGTAGATGTTTAAGAGAACCCAGGATGACATAAATGCTTTCATAGCATTCAAGAGAACTCCCAAAGTAGAGAAGCTTGTCGGGGAAGGTCCGACCTCACAGCACCTCTCCCTCACCAGGGCACTCAGCCTTGCGGATTCAGGGAGGCCCCGGCACCGCCTCCCACAGGCCTGGCGGTGATTAGGGCCTGATTGAGGCTCCTGCACGTGCCCGCGTCGGAGGCTGCGGGAGTGCTGCCCGGTTTGGGCCTCCGAGTGCTCGGGGAGACCCGCCCTCTCTGCGTACGGAGGGAACAGCAGCCACACAGAGGCCTCGCAACCGCAAGGAGCCGGAGCACGGGCTCCTCCCTGCCCTGCGGCCCCTGCGCGGAGCCGGGCAGAGGCGGCTGTGCGCCCTGCTCGCTGCTGGGCGTCGCCGTGGTGTCCGCAGTGCGGCGGGTACCGAGCTGAGCTCCGCTCTGGGAGCCCAGCAGGCAGAGAAGTGCGACCTCGTCCCGCCCTCCGGGGTTTTCCACCCGAGGGCGCGGAGCCCTGCGGCCGGGACCTTGGACTGGGAAACAGAGTGGCCAGCGCTCCGAGGGCGGAGGTCAGGTGGTGGCCCGGCACGCCGAGGGACGCCACAGTCCGGCTTGAGGACACAGGTCCCAGGGGAGCTGGCCTCGAGCTGAGACCAGAAGACACACAGGAAGGACGAGACAAGTTCCCGGCAGATGAATGTTCCAAGTCCCAGAGGCGAACGGTCCAGGCGGTTTAAAGTGATTTAGGCTGAGATGGGACGTGGTGAAGGGACTGGGGCCGGATCGTGCCGGCCTCTTCCACGGTGTCAGAGGGCTCTCTCACCGAAAAGGAGCAGCGGCCCGCAGAGTGTCAGACTGGAAGGGTGGCCCTCGGAGTGGGGAGGGGATGAGAGAAGGGGGGGGAGCAGGGGTGGTGGAGGTCGCAGGTGAGAGAGGAGAGGGGTCTGAAAGGAGGTAGTGGAGGAGAGGAGCTGGGCTGGGGAGCTGGGTATTAAGCAGAATCGACGGGATTCTGTGACCAGCTGATTT